AGAAAGAAAGAAAGAAAGAAAGAAAGAAAGAAAGAAAGAAAGAAAGAAGAGAGAGAGAGAAAGAAAATGCAAACGAGCACAGGTAAGGAACATGCAGGAAATGTGTGACATCATGAAAACAAACAAACCTTTGAATTATAGCATAGAGAGAAGTAGGTATAGCAGAGGAAATGTTGAAAGACATAGGAAGCCGTGATTATCAAAACACAAAATAACACTGGAAATGCAAATAGTGACACCAAAAATCAAAACACAGCTCTCTAGTTGGACTTAAGGCTTGCTCAGTAAGAGGCGAATCATTCTTGGGACTGGAAACCTAGACAAGTTCCGAGAGCTAGTTACGTCATGGATGATGGAGGAGAAGCTACAGCAACCAGCATGCCATAACTCCATCACTCTCCGTCCTTATACCCACAGGGAGGTGCAGTCCTCACCCCTGGTCAAGAAGATTTCTCTTTGCAACAGACGGAGGCCATTACAGGGAACCACAACCAATCAAAATGCAGACTTGTGGAGCCCAGTCTCAGCAGATACGTCTACAAAACCTTCCCATACTTAAGTGCAGGAGACATTGAGGAAAAGAGGGCAGGGATATTGTAAGAGGCAGGGGATCAGGGAGTTTGCTGAGAAACTGCGTCTCCTAGCAATGTCAGAAGTTATAAAGTCTCACCAACAGGACTGCCTAAACATGAGCTGAAGAAAGACAACAGCATAGATTCATAAAGTTCAGTTCACTGGGGAAAGACCACAAGGCCTCAACCCTACATAGTTCCAGGCAACTGAGGAATGCTAAGATTGAAAGAAGTAATCTTCCCCAGGTATGAACGTATCAACTGAACAACCAATACCAAATGGTCAGCCATGAAAACACACATGCAAGCAACAATAAGCAGACTGAACAGGTTATATTTAGGACTATATCTGTATATACAAGTATTATATGCATGTAACCACCACTAGTGAAAAAAAAAGTGGTGTTAGATCTTTCTGTTTGAAAGAGAACAAGTAGAGGGTTTGAAGTGAGGAAAGGAAAGGAAAAAAAATAATGTGATCATAATCTCACAAATGAAAAATAACTTAAAATAAAGAAAAAAGACTAGATATTTTGTTGCTTTCTATGGAGGTAGCAGGCAGTATCCAGTCTCAGAGACTTCTCCTGTGGGTGCTTAATCAGCAAGTAGATAGATGCAACATAAAGCAAGTCTTGGTAATGGGGATATTTGGGGAAGACAAAGCAGGAAGGGCCCATGGTGCTGGAAGACACCACTGAGAGGGTGGCAATATCAGCAAAGGCGTGAGAGGCAAGTAGGGCATGAGGGCAGCTGGAGCAAGAGCATCCTGGGAGAAGCTGGTCAATGTGAGATGCCCAGGCAGTATGGGCACACAAGGCAGAGTCCAGAGGGAGGACGGGGCGGGGGCAGTCTGGGAAACATTAGCAAGCATGTGAATTTCAAGCAGTGAGACAACTGAGTTCAACCAGGAAGCTGTGAGTACATAGCCAGACTTCCAAGGGCCACACCCACATCGACTGAGAGGTCATAGCCCCAGAGAAGCAGGAAGAAGCTCAGAAACTCCCTCAGAAGCAGATGCAGACAAGTGATTCTCGGATGGGTACGCTCAGGTCAGGCAGTTACTCAGACAGAGGCAGTGTCTGTGTTTCAGGGTGAGTTCTCTGGCGTCCGGGATGAGAGGGTGATTTTGGTGGTTTCAAGAGAGAAGAAACTGGAAGAAGAAAGGCTGGGAGACGGCAGACTGGAGAAGGTGTGCTGCTAAGTGGAAGAAAGCAGAGCAAAGAAATGGGAGTGGACTTGAAGGCGTTGGGAGAGTTTTAAAGGGGATAGAAATCAGAAATGGACACGTTTACCATATGGGATGTTCTGAAACTCATGATCCCCCACAGGTGTAAGCTTCCCTCGTGCTGAGACTGCCCGCAGAGCGGCACACCACACAGCTGGGTAGCATGCCTGACACCGCTGCTTGCCTAATGCTTGCCTGTCACTGGCCACAACTCTGTCACAATTAGTCAGGTTTCGTTTCTGTGTTCTGTGGGAACTGAATGTATTCCCTCTTCAGCGTGTGTCACAAGGCCCCTTGGTGCTTTGAAAACTATCTTAGGTGGAATTGATGTGATGGGAGGGGGGGTTACAGAGGTAAACTGAGGGACTGGTGGAGCAAGGCCCTGAGTGGGCAGGAAAGGAAATCCCTAAGGAGGTCAGAGAAGCCCTGGTCACAGATGAAAAAGAATACAGAGAGCATGTCAGCCACAGAGGCCACAGGATAAGGCACAACTGGCTTTTGCCCTTTGCTCACTGGGGAAACAGAAGGCCCTTGGGCTGTCAGCCAGAACAGGGAGCCACTCTCTGCAAGCCCTTGCTGTGCTCTGTTCTGTGAGTGCAGCAAGAGGCAGTTCGTAACTGTAAGAATCACATCGAAAGTGCCCCAATGTCTTTACCTCACTTCAGATTTGAGAATATTGGAAAAACTCCATGTAACTGCTTTTATATGAAGTCAGAAAACCTCCAGACACTTGGCGATTTTACTTTTATCTAGGAAACTTGTAGAAAAGAAGAAGAACAACAACACATCCCTACAATAATAGCAACATATCATGGAGTATGGGAGCAGAAATTACGAAAGGTGCTTACCTATATTTCCTCCGACTTCATATAACCTTTGGTTCTGCATCTTAATACTTTCAGATGAACCATGGCTGAAAAACAGAGAAGGAAGTGGCTTAGGGTTCTTTCAGGATCCACAGTAAATACTGACAAGTCCTTCTATCTTGATGAAATACACTCCACAAAACTTTTTTATTACAACGGAAGTCGAGACAAGAACCTGAGTTAGAGAGGCTGAGACACTTCTTAACCGTGAGATGCTCAGTGGCCTATATCGACAAAGAACAAATCCTTGCCAGGAATTCAGCACCACAGGAGAGAGGTGGGGATGCTGGCATGGCTACTTGTTTAATGCTACCCTGTCAATGGCTGCAATCCTCTTCATTAAAAGCCAGCTTCCTTTCTGTGTTTGCTGAGTTTGAATGCATTCCCTCTTCAGCTTGGGTCATAGCTCTAAGGTTCCCTACTGCTTTAAAAGATACCTAAAGGGGATTTCTTTCCAAGTCTGCCATATAATAAAAAAGAAGTCAGAGAAAGCAAATGCCTAATTCAATTTTCTATTCCAAGTCTAGAAGACTGGGACAAGAGAATTCAGAAGGACCGTGCCAATCCCGGCGACTCAGGAACAGTCTCCAACTCTGTTGAGCAGGGGAAGGGCGCTTGCCCCTTCCTCCCTTTCTATTATATATTATTCTTAACAGAGCGATCTTTCCTTGAGGGAACTATAGATCTCAATATCATTTTTACAAATTAGGGGTGTGGACCCCGTGTATCCTTCATAGTTTCTCTAAGAGCAGCACCTTGAGATGTTGGAGAGGAATGTCTTGGAGAGAACGCTGACATTGATTCACTCAAAACCTCCATTCATCACCCAGGACACCTGCTGCTGTTCTGCCAAGGCCACATTTACCATCCTGTCCTCAGTACACCTGACCCTGATCCCTCAGACCTGGCAAACAAGTATCGCCGAATCTATTTCTATAATTCCTTATTTCCCAAGTGTGATGCCGACAGGAGAGCACAGTGAGGGAAGCCTTTTGCACTGGCTTTTGTTGCACTCCCTAGAGACCCAGGAACGTGCTTTTTCCTTCTCATCCCTGCAGAAAGTATCCTGGGATCCAGTACGGTCTAGTCACTTCCTCACGGAGAGATTTCTAGGGTTTATCTGACTTTGTTGAAGCAAAGCTGCTCTGGGCTGTGTTGACATTCATCTGGGGGATGAATGTCCAGGAGTGTGGAGAGTAGGCCAGGTGGTTATTTAGTTTTATAGAAAACCGCAAAAACTACTTGACGGTGTTGCTGAGTGATTTAAATTCTGGATCGCTGCATCTTTGCAGCATTTGCTGTTGCTGTTTAGCTTTAGAATCCTCGAGGCTGGGCCACTGATACGCCACTGTGGTTACAGCTGTGGCTTTAATTTGCATTTCCTTGGTGGGTAGTGCTGAACATCTTTCCAGGCATGCAGTTTTCATCTCCATGTCTCCTTTGGTCAAATGCCATCTCTAGGTTTCTGCTATAATTGTGAGTCCCCCACAAGTCCATATGTAGGAAGTGTGCAATCCTCTAAGAAGCTAGTGTGTAGTCCAAGTGTTCAGATCACTGGAGGCATACCCTCAGAAAAGATTGTGTGACCCCGGACACTTCCTCTTTTCCCTTCAAGGCCTTGCTCCACCATGTCTGCATTGTGATGGAATGCCTTGCCATGGGCCTAAAAGCAACAGGATCACTTGAGTATGAGCTGAAACCTCCACAGCAGAACCCAAGGAAACCCTTTCTCTTTATAGATATTTGTTGCTGTGGCAGAGAGCTCCCTGTGGTAAAAATGCCCGCTGCTGCTCTCTCCCTCTCCAAATGTCACTGCTTGGCTGTAACTGTTGAAGAGGAGCTTTCCTCTTTTTTCATCCTGTCTTCTCACCCCATTCATGCCTTCTCTTGCTAAGGTTTCAGTTTTGATGAGGATTCCTCACTAGCTGGGTCATAAGCATTTTCTCCTTCTATTTTATGAAAGTTTTTACATTTTTCATTACACATTTAAATCTGTGGTCCATTTTGAATTAAAATTGAGATTTTTGATTAAAATAGTTTTTTTTTTTTCTCCTCCTGGCTATGGGGGCCTGTCTCTACTGCTACCATTTACTGAAAAGTTATTCTTTCACCACTGAATGTTTTGATAGTTTTCTCAGTAATTTGCGCCAAGGATAAACAAATTCACAGAGACAGTTAAGTAGGAGAGTGTTTAGCAATGTCTACTACAACTTCCCAATTTTCAACATTTACTTATCTGTGTGTGTATTTACATACGTGGACTCACAAGTGCCATGGCATGTGAAAAGGGGAGTCAGGCCTTGCCTTCCATCATGTGTCTGGTGATGGGCACATGGGAGTTCGTGGTGGCAAGCACGTGTGCCCCCCGAGCCCTCGAGGCTACTCCAGATCACAACTTTCCAACCGAGGGAGTCCAGATCTAAGTGAAAGGTTGGCCAAATGTGGATCTACCGAGGTCGCCTCAGAGGATCTGAGTCTGCCTACAGCCACAGACCTAGATTATTATTACTATTATCAGGAACACCGTCTCTACCAAACATGGTATTTATTTGGGGAAGAGATGCATGTGCCATGGGGCATGACCGGAAGTCAGAGGGCATGTGGCCTCTTTCTACGATGTGTGTCCTGGGTGTTGGACTTAGGTCACCACGCTTAGCAGCAAACACCCTTAACCCACGATGGCATTGAACCAGAGCATTTCCTTTCTACAAAAGGTCTAGTTGAGGATCTTGTAATTTATCAAATAACTTAGGAACTTAGCAGAGGACAGCATCCTTGCAATGAGATTTCAAGTTTTTGTATGGCCACCTGTATGTGATAACTATGGTATTTTAAGGTGCCTGGGCCAGCGGTAGAGTTAAATGACTTTCCAGTCTCCCATTAGCCCATCTGCTCTCCTTTTACTTTCTAATGCAATTTTTTTGAGGATTTTCTTTATTATATTTACGTACAGAAAACTCAGCGGTGCATATTTAACCCAGTTCAGTGGTAAGTTCTTTGGCTTTTGCCTTTTCCAGCTTGGCAATGTAAGCCATAGACTTAGGACCCAGGATGTTGCCTCCCCAGTGGCAGAGGATTGCACCGTATCTGTCATTGTAATTGGTCCTAATATCCTCCACCAGCTTAGCCAGAGCACCCTTGTCTTCCAAGTTAGCCTGTGTGAAGGCGACAGTGGTGCAGGTCTTCCTGTGGACCAGCAGCCCCAGTCTGACCTTTCCCTTGATGACGCAACAGGGTCCCCTTCTTGTGACAAAGGATGGGCAAGAAGACCACCAGCTCAATGGGGTCTGCATCATGGGTGATCAGCATCAACTGAGCCTTCTTGTCCTCCTCCAAGGTGGTGACTGTACTGACCCTTGCTCAAAGGACAGGGGCTCTCTTAGTTGGGACGTCCCCTTTCCCAGCAGCTTTCTTCTTGGCATGGACCAGCAGCCTCTGCTTCTTCTTCTGCTTTGTCTCTGGCCTGTACTTGTGGGCCAGCTTAAGCAGCTGGGTAGCTGTTCATGGGTCCAGAGCCTGGGAGAACTGGTTAATGGCAGGAGGTACTTTGAGCCACTTTCAGAGGATGGCCCTTTGCCATTGCAGCCTAGTGTAGCGAGGCCATTTGATGGAGAGTGTGAGATCTCTTTTGGGCTGGATGTCCTGCTCGATGCCGAAGTTCTTGGGCCTTTTCTCAAACAAAGGATTGACTTAGCTTTTTGGCCTCCTGTTTCTGCATGAGGATGGGGTAGCCACGCCTACCTTCTCCAATCATAATCACTAACTTGCCCCCCCATTTATAACATCTGTCACTTCCAATGTGTGAATGAAGTCACACAACACGTATACTCTTGTAGGTAGCTCCCTTCACCAAACAAGGCTACTTCTTCTGAATTTGCCAAAGGCTTAAGAATACACATGAATTTCACTAGAAATGGTCAAACCACACCTCCATTCCAGCTAGTACATTTAAACAGGTGCTTCTTGTCATTTGCAAACTGTAGGGTCAGGTGTTTCTTTTTGAGTATGCGTTCCTGTAAGGTTGGCTCATGTTCTTTTAGGGTCACTCCTGGGGATACAGGCTGAGAGCTGTGGGCGTTGTCCAGACGCTGAAGATGATGGCGCGCAGGTTTTAAGAGGCGCAGTGATGGTGTCCAGGTTACATGAGTCTTCTCAACACTGATCGAGTTATTGACAACACTAACTGCCCTAGTTTTTAGTCTAATGAAAGATAAACTCACTGATCAAATAACATTAGATACGAAAAAAGGAATGATGGCGCTGGAGAGACCACTCAGCCATTAAGAAGGTTTGCCTGTCTTTCCGTGAACTGAGTTCGATCCCCAGCACCCACATTAGGTGGCTTACAACTCACCGTAACTCCAGCTCCCACAGATCCAAAGGGGCCTCTGCGGGCACCCTCACGTGTGGCAGATACACAGACGCACAAATAAAAGATAAAAGTAAATCTCCATATAGGTACCAGCTCCTTTAGAAACTGGCCTGTTGGTGATAGTGCTATTGTCTGACTAACCTCAAACTTTAACTGTGTAATCCGCTTGAAAGATTGAAAGGAAACAGGTGCAGCTGTTCAAAAGCCACAGCTTCGGGAGCCCGGCATGCCCGGCGTGCCCAGCATGCCCACCGGCTGAAGGCTCATCTGCACTCGGGGCTGCAGGCTAGCCTACTCACCTGTTCTCATACTGGAATTTCGCCAGGATATCTTTGGCTTTGGTCTGACTGTTGAGCTGAATGGCCATCGACACTTTGGACAGCAGCGGGGCGTGGACCCTTATGACGCCTTCTGGCACATCAGACTGCCAGTGAGGGAAGAGCAAAACACAGTCAAACTAGGGAGAGAGCCGGGTCAATGGCTGAACTAGGGAGGTGAAAATCAGGGGCACCGAGAATGAGGATACACAGACACACAGACAGACATACACACACGACCAATACTCAGCCAGGGTAATGTGTGTCTTCCTTCTTTACCAGAAGATTAACAACTGCATCTGCCCTGGGACTCTACTCTCCCTGTAGTCACTTAGGCCTCACTCAACTGCTTTGGGACCATAGGGAAGAAAATGTGGATTCTGACACACATCTAATGATATTTATTAGTACCTCTGTTGAATAAAATACTAAAAACCCTACATTAAGATACACACACACACACACACATATACATGTATCTAAATTGATACAATGTATACCCTGGAACACTATATTAACTGGCCTCTTGAAATAATATATTGACATTTTAACCACTAGAACCTCAGAATGTGACCTTATTTTGGCTCAAGTGTAATTTGTAAAGACATAGTCAAACGCAAATACCTTACTCTGATAAGAGCTGTGTCCTAAGGAGAGAGAGGAAGGTTGGCAGGACACAAAACATTGCAGGAAGACAGTCGGGGAGGCTAGAGGGGACACACAGTAAGAACAGCAAGGAAAGGCAAAGGTCGAGTCTAGGGGACACACATGGAGCATCATGGGAAAACAATGACGGAGACCAGATGGGACACACCACACGAGTATAATGGAGACTAGCATGATAGATACATCCGCCAAGGACCGCTGGCATCACCAAAGGCAAGCTGAGGAGCCCAGACGACATCTTTCCCTCAGTGCTCAGAAGAAACCCACCCTACTGATATTGTGACTTGGATTTTAAGCTCCAAAATCAGAAGAGCATAGATCTGTCCTGGCTTAGCCATCCACCTGCACGGTACATTGTGATGGCAGCCCTAGGGAACTAATGCAGAATGTTTAATCCGTCGGTCGTTATAGCCAAGAGCGAAGGCGGTGTGCCAGGGAACCAACAAGCAGGGATTTGGAGTCGGGGAAGTGCAGGCAGAGACCGTGGCTTGCTGCAGTCAAGTCCGCATTCCTAAAACCACTGTCCAGGATCTTCCCCTCTGAGCTCTCTAGATGCCTTCGCACAAGCGGTTCACGCTCTGACATTATTAGGCCTTTCGTAGAACAAACTCACATGCCTCCGTGCCTTTGTATCAGATACCTCACCATACATGTGAGTCATTAGCTAAAGGGCCTGTAGCATTACTTCAGGTGCAGACTGAAAAGAGCCAGCCTGAAGGACAGTCTGAGGTCCGAATTAGACAAGAATGTAGCGTGAGTGTCCGAAGAATTAATAGCTGTGAGGGCTGGGCATGGTGGCACGTGCCTGTAATCTGTGTGTTCAGGTCATGGAGGCAAAGGGCTGTCGGTTTAAGGCTAGCCTCGGCTACACAGTGAGACCATCTCAAAGATGAAAAAGTGACCGAAGTGATAGAAGGCTTCCTGCTTGCTTGGTGTACACAGTGTCCCGTGTTCACTTCCCAGCATCACACACACTTACACACTCCCTCACACACACACACTCTCTCATACTTACACACACGCTCCCATATTCTCTCTCACACACACATTCTTTCTCTTCCTCTCTCTCTCTCACACACGCCACATTCTCTCTCACATATACTCACACACATTCCCTTTAACACTTAAACACACTCACATATTCATTCTCACACATGCGTTCTCTCTCTCACACTCTCTCCCCTTCCTTCCTTCCTTCTCCCCTCCCCTCCCCTCCACATAATTAGACAGAATAAAAATCTTACCATTCTTCTTGAAGTAGGTGATTTTTGTGGTACCTTTGAGTTCTTGGGGTTTGAAGCCTAAAGAAAACACATTCCACCTTTCAGATTAACCCCGAGAGCATAAGTTTCTGGTTTGCTACAGTCTTTGAGGAAAATATTCGGGCATTTAGCAAATTATGAATTGCTTGTGCACTTTGACCCCACAATTCCTCACTTATAAATTCAACTCCAAACACATCTCAACTGTGAAAACAGTGACATACATAGTAGTTTATTCACCAAAGCTCAAATCATAAGAGAAAGAAATCGGATATGTTCTGGGGTTCACCAATCTAGGCGGCCTAAAGACGCTGTTTTATACCTAAAATACACAAAAGAGGCAAAGAGGGGCAATGCACTACTGTGGGATACAGCTACTGTTTCTTAAGCCACGAAAGCAGGCCAGGAGACAGTGAACCCTGTCTGCTGCCAGGCACGTAAACATCCAGAGTGCACACAGTCATGCCTGGGATCTTACACCCCGCACTCACCAAAGGCCACGGGTCCTCAAGCAGCCACCTGTGGGAAACGGTGCAGGTACTCCTCACCCGCACAGTCCTCCTGCAATACCGCAACTAGCTGGCGTGTCGTACCTAACACACTAGAAATGCCACGTGAGTGAGTTGGCATGCGCTGCCTAGGGGAAAGTTAGCGCTAAAAAGGTCTGTACGTGTTCAGGACCAACGTAGCACTGATTTGCCGAATATTTTCAATCTTCACAGGTAGAGCTCATGGAGGGTTGAGTGTGATTATAGTTGTTTCCTGAGCACAGAGCATCTGGGGGGGGGGGTGCACACCTGTGAGTTTCAGTGAACAAACACCGGCCCTGGTGCTACTGTTTTTCTCCCACGGTGGGGCGGAAGCCAGCAGTGACTAAATTTTATCCTATAGCCTTTCCAAGTCTTTATTTCATTTATGTACGTATGTGTGTGTGTGTGTATGTGTATGTATGGTGTGTTTGCGGGGTTCAGGTCTCGCCAGCCACCGTGTGGGTCCCAGGGGTTGAACTAAGGTCTCCAGGGCTACGCAGAAAGCACCTTTATTGGCTGAGACATCGCACTAGCTCTTTCCAATATTTTAAATATGTAACTTGTCAATTAATTGTTTAATTGTTTGCTCCAATCAAAATTAAGCATTAGAGCATGACAATAGTGTTAAAACCTTTTATCTTTAGATGCTTACTTCTGTAGAGTTTACAGCCTTGTGTTCTGTGGACCACCAAAGCATGAAAATAACTGGCATCCCCACAGCACTGTAGTTTGTAAACAGAGTTTTCAACATGTTTCACACACATCATGAGAGTCCATCCTAACGACAAGTCTGCGAAACAGATATTATTGTCTGTCTTGGATACAAACTCCAAGGATCCAAATATGAACTGGATTGGGCCAAGCTCTTCTAACGGGCAGCCTGACCTTGGCTTTAGTTCTGTGTGTATCATGCTTTTGTGTCAGTGATCCCTTCCAGAATGAAAACAAGACAAAGAAACTCCGAAACTATGAGTATGAAGCTGTCAGGGCTCTGGATGCTAACATTGCAGCCAAGGAAGAACATGAAGATGGAGCCGGCTGCACCTTCTCAGGCACACGGGCTGCGAGACACTGGTTGCAGCTTCCTAAGCCCAGCAGGCTATGCGGTATTTACGGCTGCTATTGTTCTGATCTGAGGCTGGGTCTCAGAATGTAGACAGGTCAACCTTGACCTCAGCATGTAGCTCACAGTGGCCTTCAACTCACAACCCTCCCACGCCCACAAAGCCCATTTTCACTTCTTTTCACATCTCTGTTCCTCAGCTCAGCCTCAGGCTGGAGATGAACACAGCCTGCACCTGGTGCTTGCTACTGCCTGAATCCTAGAACAGAGTGCGCCTCATCCTCCAAGAACTGCAACTATTTGTGATCTGTGTGGGTGCGCCAATGGGCCACCTGTATGTTACCTGTCGTGGAACTAGTCAGAGCTCCAGGCACAATGCTATGAACATTTTAAGGCAAGTGCTATGTGCATGGGTAAGAGTTGGGGAAACCCTGTGTAACTGAAGAGGCTGGGGCTCATATGACCCTCAGGATGGAGAGGGCCCTGTGCACATCCAGAGCTGAGCGTGAGACCAGGCAGACAGGCTACAGGGGAGACGCTGTTGTTTTGTCCTGGGTGTTTGCATGCAGGAGTGTGTGTATGTGAAGTTCCCAGTGCAGCCACACCAGGTGGGACAGGGCAATCAGGTTCACAGCGCCTCACCTCAGTGATCCCACTCCCTCCAGCGAGGCTCCACCTCCAGAAAGTCCCTAACCTTCACAAACAGTGTCACCAGCTGAGGACCAAGTGTTCCAGTACAGGAGCCTTTGCGGTACACTTCACATTTCAAACCATGACAACTAAAAGTCACTACAAGGCAATCGGGTAAGTCATCTCTAGGGTACCAAACAATCTTCATGAGGCAAATATTCCAAGGACCTCAACCCCAAAGCATGGAATGCAGCACAGTAGAAAGAACCTGGTTTATATGGAGACTTTCTACCACATCCTCCTTTGGGAAGTAAAAGCCCAGATGATGGAAAGCCTTGGCCCTGCTGTGCTCCTCCTTGGCCCAGCTGACACTCTCACCTCCCGTTCCAGAGTCTTCCTCCTCAGCAACTTCTTCATACTCGGGAGCTGCTTCTTCAACAGCATGCTGGCTTCATTCATCCTTCTTACTTGGGTGATCAAGAAAGATGGAACCTGGAGAAGGAAGAAACACTTGAGCGAAAGCCCCCGGTAGGTTCAGCTGTCAGTTATAGAAACTTGTTCTTAACCCCTCATCATCTTGGAACTAGGAGCTGTGACACTTGTCACTGAGATTAGAGAAATGATAAGGATTTCAGCTTAGAAGAGAAAATATGCTTTGGACATGTTTAAGAATGTACTATTGTCCTTTGGTCTCCAAGGGAGGCAGTTCTAGGAACCCCTGGATTCTGACATCCTTGGATGCTCATCCACGGTACAGTACCTGCATATAACCTTCATGACCCCCCTCTGTACCTCAGATCTTTCCATGATTCACAATGTCTGTTCCAATAAAAATATGGTGTAAGGAATTGTTTTATTGTACTATTTAGGGTCTAATGGCAGGAAATCTCAGTATAGATGCACAATTTGGGGAGGATATTTGGAAGTGTGATTTGTTAAATTCTGAGTCATAGAACCCGTGGATATGGAAGGCTAAGTGTTCACGGATGCCACAAGCAACCATGAATTATCTTCTCAGATTTTCTTCTTCTTCTGTCTCTAAGATTGCTTGCTCCTGGGCATTTTCATCTCCCTGCAGCTGGTGCCTTTTAGAGGGCCACTGGATGGCCCTAAGAAGCATTACTCACTTTCCATAGAATTTTCTGGTACTTCAGCATCAGGCGGATGATGTGGGCTGCAGTGTTGGCCAGCAGCAGCTCCTCGTAGTCAGAGTGTTTGCTTCTGCTGAAGAACAGGTTGGGCGCCATCACTGTGGAAATGTTCCACAGGCTCATGCGGTTTTTAGACTCATTGGCAATCACTTTATTGAAGAATGTCATCAGAGCCTAACAAGACACAGGAGAAGTGTGTCACATGATCCTGAACCACAGGGCAAAAGTGTCCTGTGCCCCTTAAACTTCACAGAAGAAAAATGAGCAGTTAATTCAACTGTCTGCTTCATAAAATAATCCCCTTCTTACAGGTTTATTACCATGGGGTCTACAGATAATAGACTTTCCTTTTATTCTAAACAAGTTTGACAAATGTTGAAATTAAACATCAACCAGGGAGAGGAAACACTGCAGCTCAAACAAAATGAAATAAAGAGTTTTGTTGTGAAGGAAGGAAAATAATTCTTGAAGTGAAAACACCCTTAACAGAAAGCCCTCCTGCTGATCTGAATTTACTGTTTCCTTGAGAAATGAGAAGCCACCTAAGCAACAGGAGCTTCTCCTCCCTCAGCCCAAATGCAAACGCAGCCCAGAGTTTTAAAACATTACTTCAGAAGTATCATCTTTGTGAAGTTTTTCATGGCCTTGTTTCCTTGCTTATACTGGCCTCCAGACTTGTGATCCCCCTCCCTCAGCTTTCTGAGTGATAGCACTACATACATACACTGCTCTTTTGGTTGCTTTTTAATTATAAAGTCTTTACCTGGCACAGCACGTTTATATGTAGCTTTTGTAAGCATTGAAAAAAAAAAAAAAAAAAAAGGAAACTTGGCAATTTTCAAAGTACACCAAGATACAGATGCTTATGAGAACCTTTGGCATTTCACCAGAGGGAAGCTTTCTGCGCTTTCTCAAGTCTGGATTATACCTGTGTGTGTGTGTGTGTGTGTGTGTAGACGTGCATGTGTATATATAGACATGCATGTTGTATATATAGACATGCATGTCTCATGGCACACACATAGAGATCAGAGAACAACTCTTGTGGGCCTGTGCTCTCCTGTCTGTGAAATTCGGGGATTGAGCAGTATAGACTTATTTTTGACACAAGGTCTCTCACTGAAGCTGAAGCTCGCTAATTCAGCTGGACTGTCTACTCAGCAGGGCTCTGGAATACCGCCACCTCCTCCTCCGCAGTGGTGGGGTTACAGACACACACTGCCACGGTGGCCTTACCCTTGCTTGGTGGGGCTCGGAACTCAGGTTCTCATGGTTTCATTGGGAGCATTTTATTGACTGAGCCATCCCCTCAGCCGTCTCTGCAATCTTTTTGAGTAGGGAATGTTCAACACGCGATGGCGATAGTTCACAATTCCTTGAGTGTTTACAGTGACTCAGATATTATTCTCAGTGGTTAAAACTTATTTCCTTTCACTCACTCTATGTTTAAACACTAGGAGGCAGATACCATTAGAAAAACTGTGTAGGTGGGAAATCCGGGTGGGGATGGAATGAGGAGCCCCGTCTAGCATCAGCCAGTTAAATGGTGGCACCGAGGACCTGAACCAAGCAAAGCCATTCTCCAGCTGTGTTTCTGCCTTCTCCCCAAGCAGCAGGTTCGATGGAGCTTAACTCCAGGCACGACAGAATAGAAAGAAAGGCCATGCTTGTGTGTGCATGTGAGTAAGTGTGGCCCTATCCACAGCCTTTCTCTGAGACCTTATACTAGAAGAGTATTGAACTATTTCTCAATTGTTACATCCTAGGGTACATAAAAGGTTGATGACATTTTGATTAAGACATCTGATATCAGATGGAGCTGTGTGATCAAATAACGTCGTTTAGGCAACACGAAAACCAAATTAACAAATTTGAAACTTTTGGAAAAGTATTGAATGATATTAAAAACTGACATTTTATGCTTTGCTGACCCCACCCTTGCACTGAGGATGTAAAATAATGCCGTGTTTTATGATGTGCGAAGCAGGCTAGATAACTGGGTGCCACTTGTAATCCACACTGGCCTCGAACTTTCAACAATCCTCTTGCCTCAGACTCCAAGGGCTAGTGTTCCCACTCTGTGGGGGAACCCCCACTGACCTCCCCAAAAAGCATGCAGAGAGAAAGCAACCTGGCTTCATTTTCTACATTCTATTGACTGGCTTTAAATTGAGGGCTCTTTCAACTCTTTGTCCTTTAGCATCATTTCAAAGGGTCCGAGTGCCTGTTTTGCACATACCAGATTTCTAAGAACACCCTTGCCATCAAAATTCCGAGAGAAACTCCCATTTTACTAACATACAACAAAGAAGTGAGTTTGAGAGGAAAGGAAAGCAGGGAAGAAGAGCTACCTATGCATGCGAATCTACCAGACAGTATGGGACCTGTGAGCCAAGATGTCACTTCCTTGGGCTTTGTTTTCCCAGTCTGGAAAATGCCAGACTCTATCTGGTGACATCGAAACTAAAACCTAGGATAATCCTAAAACCTAGGATTATCTAAATTATATTGTCTGTATATGTTTTAAAACAGGAACATGCTAGAAATCTCACACAGCCCGTGATCGCAGATGCCCTCCTCCAAGACTCGTTAGAATTATTCCACCACTAGGCTGGAGTGTCACAGATAAAACGGCTCCCATTTATTCCAGATCCTGTTCCATGTAAGCTTCTCCTCTTCACCTCTTGTGTTCCCCACACTTAGTCCTGACATCTGTTTAGACACTCAGCTTCGTCCCTCAAGTGCGCTGAGGGAACTGACTGTTAATTGTTCAAAGAGAGCTGTAGAATTTACATTCTTTGTGTCTTCCTCAGCACAGCACCACTGGGAGCACGCAAGCCAGTGGGACTGCCTCATGCTGACGGCTCTGGGAGCTGTCACACTTCTCTTTCCCCAAGACGAGCCTGTGACAGATTCTGAGTTCCACGGTACTTACCTGGGCCGTGTCCCTGTTGGCATCAGGCAGGGCCATGACCATGAGGTGCAAGGCTTGAAACTGCACTTTGACATCAGGCCCTCCTAACAAGGAAACAGAAATGATCACACGCTCGAAGCCACTCTGATGCATTCTGACAGCAATCACACGAACATCTGATGGCGCAGGAGGGCTCTGACAGCTAAATGGGGAGGACTCAGCTCTCGAGCTCAACGATGTTAATTTGTTCATTTGGACAGGAGCCCCAGTCTGTCACCTCCCTTTCAATCCCAGGATGCCTATTCATAGGCAGGGAGCCAAGAAGATCCTTTAAATAAGTCCAGATCTTCAAAGCGTGTCCACAGACCTTGCCTTGCTTTACAAACAGAAGACGAAGCTCAGTTCGAGAGTGAATAAACATTGCGCCCAAGGGCACAGCAGCCTATGGTGACTAAGGATGGATGTTCTAGGACCAGGTTCAAACCCTGCATTTGGTACTAAGTCACTTAACCTTTTTGCTTTCATACTGTCATCTATAAAATCTTAGGCAGCTCACAGGAAGGCATGCAGATTAAATAAGTAAATATACATACAATGTTTAAGTTAAGTGCCTGGAGTCAGTTGTCATGGTATGTGTGGGCACATTGGTTTTATTACAAATACTATTTATTCCCTATTTCGCACAGACATTTAGGGGAGTGACTAGTTTTGGAGAATGTTGAAGAGTTTTATTCCCTAATGACACAAGATGGCGCCACAGGGCTGGCATTCACACTCAGGGAGGCCATCCTCACAGGGTACTAATGCGCAGCCATCCATTTAGAGTGCACTGAAGGCTTTCCTGTCTGCAGCCCTTTCACGTTGGTCTACTGGTCCCAGGGAGTTCTCATGCAGAAGGGTACCCTTTCGCCGTCTGTGGCTGGAGGCCGCCATTTATTTGTAAAAGCACTGAGCCTCACAGTAACGCAAACCTCAAGTGAGAACCTACAGCGATGGTGCTGGAGTTGGGGGCCATGGGGAGGGGAACCGTGGAAAGCGCACCCACAGTTCTGATTACGCTGTCTTGGCATCACCCACATGATGATGCTAGTTAGTTAGCCACATTGGATTTTTAAGAAGGACATGCCACAGGCCTATAGTAACATTGATGCGAGCAGTTTCAGGGCCTAGGAAGAGCATCCCATACCAAGAACAGAGGAGACATCCTTTTTCTACAGGAATGGGAGGCTCAGGGCCTCGTTGTCAGATGTGATCATCTCAGAACATGTCGGAGAGCAGGATAACAGATGTGCGTGCAGGCACGGCAACCCTTCTTCCCATTTTAGAGTTAGGAAGTTCCCGCCTCAGTCAAAAGTCTGATTGCGCAAACGTTCTTGCTTTTATTCTACCGACGAAAGTTGGCCGGCCATACACTGTCTTGTGAGCAGTTTGTGGCTAATTCATCTAATGCATCCTACTGTGGACCTTTCTTTTCCTGATTGATGAACTATCTAGTCCTTTAATTGAACCAGCAGTTTGTAGGTCAAGATGAAAAAGAGCCAATAACCACATGAGTGCTAAGCAATCTGTGCTCTCTGAATTCTGTGTGAGTATGATGAGGTAGTTCCAACACACACACACACACACACACACACACACACACACACACACACACACAGACACACACACTAATTGCACTAATTGCTGAGTTGGCTGTACCTAAGACTGGTAGCAAGCAGCTTTGCTCTTGCTGAGCAAATGATCTATTTAAGCATAGCAGCCAAACACAACACCCAGAACAAAACCTAAACCAACATCACATACAAAGAAGAAGGTATCCCCATTCTCAAAGAAGACCCAGATCATTAAATGGCCCAGGGGCTGGAACTAGCAAACAAGGTTTTAAAGCGAGTCTCAAGGTACACAAACAGCATAAAAGAAAACATGTGAATGATGACTGAAAAGACAGGGCCTGCCAACACCACCAACTGGAGATTCCAGAATTGAAAAACTACCATATCCTTAAAAGATCAAAAGGTTTCTTTCTCAGCAAGTTAGAAATTGGGGACAACTATCAGAGGTTTAGATACGCAAACCCAGGCCGACCATAAATGCTGTTTCGCCCCCGTGTCCACAGGAAGCAGCGATCTGCACAATGTAATCAGACCTCCCCATGCGCATCTCTGCAGCCCATATGCAATCATGCGTAACTTCTTCACCTACTTTCCATCAGGGTGATGAAGGCGGGAATATACTCAACGGGGAAGAGAGAGGTGGGGAGTTCCCTGAAGAACGCTTTCAGCATGACTGCGGCTTCTCTGTGACACATTTTGTCCCACTTGAACTTGTCGGCATTGAACCTGGCATCCAGTTCTTCGCGGTACTGCTGCAAAGCCAGGGAGATGGTCATAGTCAGTGATGCTGAGCGTCCTTTCCTCTCTCCCCACTGTCCTTACACAGACTATTTTTTGGCAACCAGGTGGCTAAGGCTAGCGCCTGCTAACCCTTACCCTTCCACACAATCAAGAATTGAAATGCCAGTTTGTAAATTAATGTTTTAAAAGTATTTCCAGAGGTATCTTGAAAATAGTCATAATCTTGAAACAATTTGCCAATTCTGCATGCATCTAAAAGTTCTTTACTGAGTCTGTAGCTTCATTTCTGTGGTTTTGGCAGGATACCACATACCCCCACATGATAAACGTGTTGCTCAGTTTTGAGAAAACAACCATTTTCCTTTCGTCATAACCCTTCTGGTACCCTCACTTCTGTTTCTCCTCCGTCTCCACTCTTTCCCATTTGGAATGAGAAATGTCCCAATGAAGTAACTCTGATTTCACTGCAGCATGCAGAATAATGACCTCTTCCTGGAATAGGTCCAGCGGTTCTCTGCCAACACACACACGTCTTCCACATGTTGGTGTGCCTGCCTAATCCTTTCTGTGGTCTGGTGGACTGTGCAAGCAGCTTGTGTTGGAGCATTGGGCCTCAGTAAATTCCACTCACATTAAGTTTCTACTTGGAAAAGTTTGCATTACTGGTTCATCTGTTTATCAGTGGCAACCATTCTTCAAGCTTCTTTACCAAAGGCAAACCCATTTTCCACCATTTCCTTGAACTTCAGGGTTTACCTCAGACACTAGGCAGCTGGAGTCACCTCCCTGACTGATACTCACTGCTCAAAAGAGAAGACTTAGAAAAAGACCTGGGTAACCTTCTACTTTTTGTACGCTGCTTTGTTCTCATGAAAAACTTATTTTTAGCCTTGAACAGGAAGAGCCATAGGCAATTTGTTCATCTCCCATCAAGATCAGACCACTAACATGCCAGACACAAAGGCCTCTGTGGCTCCCAGAGCCTGCAAAGCTGAGATCTCTGTCAAGCTTGCTGAGTTAGGTTCCAAGGGAGGATACTGATGAGTATATAGCCAGCCTGGATTAAAATGGTAAGATTTCATCTCAAAAGAACAAGACAAAACAAAACAACAACAAAAAACAAAACAACAACAAAACAAAAAAAAAAAAAAAAAAAAAACAACCAACCAACCAGCTAACCTATTAATCAATAAAAACCTACTCTTTGTTTCCTGTTAAGGAGAACACAGGCAGAATCAAAGTCAGGTCTTTGAGTGACACTAGAGCAACTGACTACATCAATTTCTACAGCATTTTCACAAAAATGCAAAGAGCTAGCCTGAAGCCACCGGCTCCGGGAGAGAAACCAGCACACAGGTAATGTAACTACAAAGCAGCTACAGCTACCTCAGAACAATGGACACCAGGACAAAGAAAACTACACGTCAAACGGGCTGCCTTCTTCCATAAAACACATTCCCAGTGTTTGGCTCAACTTTCTGTGGTGTTTTGAAAAGAAAATCATTGAACATTCCAAAGCATTACATTGGTTCCAAGTGATCTATGGGCCTCCAATTTGGGAACTGGCTCTCCAGTAATGTCCTTGTTTGGCTCTAGCTGAGCAACTTCCTCTCAGGCCTGAGTCCTGTCAGTCTCAGTAATGATCTAGAATGCAAAGCCAAGGCTGGACCATCCAGTATCAGCATCCCCCAAATGGATGGGCTCATTTACTCAGCACCAGTCAAGAATAATTACAATGGATTTTTAAAAACTGCTTTTCCCCAAGCATGTTCTGTAGGAAATGTACTTATAGAGGATGACAAAAACAAAACAAAACAAAACACTAAGCAAGCACGGATATTGAAGGTTCGAACATTAAAGAAGCAAAGGCCTCAGAAATACATCAGGCCTGATATCTCTAACTGCAGCAAGCCTGGTTGCTGCTCGCTGGCCTGGATTTCTCCCATGCTCCCTTTACTGAAGCCAGAACTACGAAAACATCTGGATTGTATTCCCGAACTAAGAAGCAGCAAAATAAATTGGCTGACACAGCATCAAACCCATTAAGGGAAAAAGACTTTGCCCTAAATGTGGTTTGGGAATGTATGTGTCTGTGAACATGTTGAAGGGGTGATGGGCCTTGGTTGCCATTTTTTAGACAAAGAGTTAGATGAAGAAAAGTAACTTCTTCTCTAATGTCAAACATGGGGCACATAAGAAAGTTTTCTATCCATGGAGAGGAAGTTGGAGGGATGGAGTCTGAGTCTGGTTAGGGAGCCTGATTCTTTGCCTTTCTTTGGGGTCTCTGAATCAGCTGATAACCTAAGACAACTAAGGTGGTCCTCATTTTCACCCTCATTGTTGTGTGCTTTTCCCCAGAAGCATACCTACAGATGAAATGTGATAAATCAAGACAAGATTGCCTCAGGAGCCACTGGAAAGTTTTCTGTTAGTTAGTCCTCACTGAATGGAGTCGTAACTCCCAACCTGCCCAGCTTCAGATATCCCTTCAAATGAGAACTTGTCACAGTCATTTACAAAAGGTTCTGGGAGCTGATTCTCTCAGCTGGTCACTCCTCACCACCTGCAGCAGCCCTTTCTTTGAGGGAAACCTAGCCTGTGGCTGAACAGGCCCAGGCCTGCCCCATTCTGCCCAGTGTAGGGCTCCCCTGTTTGGTGGAAGTGACCCCTTGAATCATAACCCATGTCTTGCCAGCTTTCTTCCAGTGCCAATCCATCTCTGCTCTGAAGGAGCCAATGGACATAGTTTACTTGTTTCCTTTCCACTCAAAAATATTCTATCACAGTTCTACGTTTCTACCTTGACACTTCTCATAGAAATAGCATCCCCCAAGCATGTACATAAATGAATTAACGAAGGGATGCCTTTCTGCCTCTGCATTTTCTTTCATGGGTTTCTCACAGTCAAATTCATGTTTTCATCACCACTTGAACATTCTCTTCAGAACCCATCACTGAGCATCCATGAAATGGGATGACCAGAGGGTACTCATGAACTCCTCCTCATTGTGTGTGCCCATCAGGAAGCACAAAGAGATATTTTACTAGACATTTCCCAGAGAAGATTCCCTCTTCAAGGACTCCTTCCTGCTCTGTAGAGCCTGCCTCTGGGTATAAGGAGACAAAGCGAATGGATTCACATTGCTGTGCAGATTTTATACGTAGATGCTGACATTACCATAAATGGAATTAGGTTTCAGAACAGCTGAGTGAGTATTCCTGTGGTTGTGAGCACTGCTACAAATTCTTAAAAGAAATTCAGCCAAGAGAAGAACCTGGGAATGCTGGTCAGCTGAGAGCAATTAGCAATGGAAGTAAAAGCCAATGTGCTAAGGGCTCAAAGACTTCCAAAGGCCTGAGACTTAGCAAACTGAAATGGTTCCTCTCCCAAACACGACCAGGTATTTCAAACTTCATACTGAAGACAAGCAAGAGTTTTGATGGCAATGTTTCCTTACTCTAGGTTTTAAGAATTGCAGCATGAAAAAAAAACATAAAATCAGATGTACTGAAGTGTATTCGGTCAAGCCAAGTGATGCCACCAAAGGAATAATGACAGACACACTGGAACTGGGTTATGGTGGTTTGAGCAAGATTGTCCCTGTAGGCTCTTGTAGTTGAATGCTTAGTCATCAGGAAGTGGCACTATTAGAAAGCATTAGGAGGTGTGGCCTTACTGAAGTAGATATGGCCTTGATGGAGGAAGTGTGTCACTGGGGATGGGCTTTGAGTTTTCAAAAGCCCATCCTAGGCTCATTTTTTACCTCTCTGCCTTCTGATCATGGTCTAACTCTTAGCTACAGCTAGAGCCTCCTGAGTGCCACCAAGCTCTTATCATGTCTCTTGCCCTGCCCCATGATAATGGACTCACCCTCTGAAACCGTAAGCAAGTCCCCAAGTAAATAATTTATTTTATAAGTGTTGCCTCAGTCACGGTGTCTCTTCCCAGCAACAGAACACTAAGACGAGCTTACATCTTTATCTAGATAGGAGAGAACAGTGAGTACCTTGACTTTGGCAGTACATCCTGAAAGTCGAAAAATTCCTTCTGATTCCAGTCCTGATTCCTCGACTTTCTGAAAAAACTAGAAACCAACAATCAATTAGAAAAAAATTAAATATTTCTGTATGACTACAAGCATTTTAAATAATGAGGGCAGGACTCAGTAGCCTGCTAAGTGTGCATGCATACCTGACATATGATTTCTGACATACTAATGACTCTCAACAAGGTCAACATTGCCTCAAGTTTGCCAAGGAGAGAATTCTCCACTTAGAGCTGTGCCCTAACTTCCCAACATCCTAAGTCAAGCACGGACTCTGTTGGTTATGTTCTCTCATCTACTATGATATTCTGCCAACCTGGCTCTTTCAAACCTGCTTATTTCTCTTCTGCAGACCAACTAGTAGGAAAAAAAAAATACCAAACAACCATGTGTCTACAGGCACACCACCCTGAATGCACTCAGTCCCTTCCAACTTTACTCTCATTAGTTGCAAAAAGCTCAACTCAGAACTTAGACAATTCTAGAAGACTAGGCAAGAACTTAGACAAGAAGAATTAACTGCTGTCTTAGTATCTCATGGTGCTAGTGGCCATGATGGTAATGATAGTGGTGGTAGGACGATCATGGTGATGATGTTGATCGTGGTGGTGGCGGCAGTGGTGCTGGTGATGATGGTGGTGATGGTTAATACCAAGTTTCTACTTCCTGTGTACTTCCTGCAGGTCAGACCTGTTCTCTGTGGTTTGCACATACTCACTCCTTCAACCCTGACCTCCGTGCTATTCTCCCCCGTCCTGAGAGGCTGGGACACATGAAGCTAAGTAACCTTCCTAAGTTCGGAAGGTGAGAGGAAGCTCCGATGGCGTCCCCGCAGTGCTTGGGTTGTGAGATTCTATCAGGGGTGGATGGGGAAGGAGGCACCTGTGTCTCACAGCAGCTGAGGGACAGCACCTCAGATTACCTCACGTGAGGCACACAACACCAGCAGCCAGAGTGGCTGCCGTTCCCTGGGTCAAGAATGTGATGTAAATCTACACTTAGCATCTATTGAGCACCTCATTTTTAGTGCCAGTTGCTAAGTTCTATGCTGGGTTTTTACAGCTATGTCATATAAACTTGTGCTGGATTCTTGTGGATTTTAAAGACTGTTTTCTCCAAAATCCATCCTCTATATGCAGGACAAAGCCCATCGCTTGTGCTTTGGTTTCGGAGGCGGAAGCACAGCCCGAGGAGGACTCTGGGCTTGGCACGCGCTGCGCCCCTGTCCGCCTCTGCCTCCTGCTTTATCTCATCCTCCTCTGCCCCAGGTGCTTTGTCAGTGAGGAGGAGATAAAAACTGCCCCTTGGGCTGATCCACGCTGACTGCACAGGATATGACATCACTGGTATAGCCCTGGCCCTGGGGAGACTCCGAGCAGACGGCCCCTGCGCCCGGAGAGGACACCGGCATCTTCTGGCGGTCACTGCCACCCTCCCTGCTCCATCACTGGCCACTCGATCAGCGGGCTCGAGGAAGCAGCTTGGGCTGTGGCGCCGAGAGCCAGACACAGAGGAAAGAAGATGCGGATGTAGAACTGTCAGTATGAGCAGAGCAACCATGCCACCACAGCTGGGGCTTTTTATGTATCGTTTACAAAGAGTGTAAAACACAGCAAGGCCTGTGATAAAGGCCTGGGATTCTAAGTGCCACCAGATGTCACTGTTGAACACGTGCGTACTTCAGTAAGCATGGCCCGGTTGCTGTCCACATTTTAAGAAGCACAGCGTCAAAGTAAATCAGCTGTGGGGCTGGCTCCGTGGCTAAGAGCATGTACTGTTCCTACAGAGGACCCGAGTTCAAGTCCCAGCATCCTCACAGGGAGGCACACCACTGCCTGTGACTTAGCTCCGGGAGGGATCTGATGCCATCTTCTCATGTCCTTGGGCACTGACACATATGTATGCATGCACACACAGACACATAATTACAAACAAACCTAGGCCTTATTTTTTTTTAAAGTAACCCAACTATTTAGCAATCATAGAGATATCTGGAAATAGCAGTTGAGATATCATTAAAAAAAAAATAGTTTCACCAAGTTTTTTCTGTTCTGACTGTACCTATTTGGTATAGTCACATCTGAAAACCTATCAGAAGAAAGATAATTTTTGACTTTATTAATTTGATTTGAGTTTGAAAAGTCAATAAAAAGATTGTGCACACCCATTTGGAAAAAAAAATTAGCTTTTGATGCATCTCAGAAATCACTTGTGTGTTTGGCAAGTAGACTGTTAATAATCATGTCTTTAAACAGAATAATCAAAAGTACATGTGAACAGCGGGCACAGTGGGTGTGCCTTTAACCCAAGCACTCAGTAGGCAGAGGCAGGAAGATCTCGGTGAGCCCCAGGACAGCTGGGTCAGCATGGTAAGACCCCGTCTTGAAAAAGAAAACACGTGCAAACACGTGCACACACAAGCAGCATCTGAAGACAGGGAACTGTAACTGAATGAAGCTGGAAGACGGAATGCCGTGTCTACCCCTGACATCTTATGGCCGAGCTAGGTAACACGCTTCTCCAGCACAGAGCAAGCTCCTGAGGTGGGGCGTGTCCCTCAAGGGTCAGGGACATCTGTGATAACGCAACGTTGGGACTTAATAGGGCTCTCCTGTCTTTCTGTGCCCACTGAGCTCATGGGCTCCCCAGTCTTTTGCACACAACTCACTTTCTGTAACACCAGTGGAACTTTCACCGCCGGGTCCTTCTTCCGATCATTGTCCAGGAGGACGGTGAGCGGCACTCCGAAAATCCCGCTGTCTGCAGCGGTAACAGCCAAGGCAGGAAGAAAAAGGAAGAGTCAGAAGCCTGCCCTCGTGTTCCCAGGGCACGTTTTAAGCCAGAAGCCTGGTCCCTTAGTTACCTCGGCCTTTCACTCTCTCCGTCTTGTTTCTTTTCAGTTGTATTCCAAAGGCGTCGAAGAAGGCCGTCAATTCAATCAGAGAGAGATGGCGGATTTTCTTCATGTCTTCGGCAGACAGGTCTCCCGTCTCTGTCAACCCAAATCTGGTTTTCTGAACAATAAAATTCTAAAACACACAGTGAAGGTATTTATTTATTTTTTTCAATCAAATGAAATCGGGACACTCTAAATTTACACAGCAAAGACGACCGGGAAAAGTCTCCGACGAGCATCCTAGGCCCCAGAAGCAGTGAGTAGGTGTTTCAGGAACACTCGAAGACCAGCTACTCTAGTTAGAGGCAGAGCAGCAGCCCAGCGATGCCATCAAGGTTGCGAGCACTGCTCAGCTGCAGCTGTGACCGTAGCCACAGCTCTTGGCCATCTTGCTGTGTTTGTGTGTGTGCCCATTCCTACTCGTGTGGCATGCCATAGCAGGCGTGTGGAGGTCAGAAGACAATCTCGGCCGTCAGTCCTTGCATCTCACCTTACCTGAGATGGGGTCTCTTTACAGTGGGCTGCTAGTGACGCTAGCTGGTCTGTAAGCTTTGGGGCATTCTCTGGACCCTGCCTCCCATCTCAGCACAGGAGCCCTGAGATCACAGATGAACCATGCCCATCTTTACACTGGCATTGGAAGTGCAGACTAAGGCCATCACACTTCCACAGCAAGCACTCTTATGCACTGCATCATCCCCATGGCCCAGCCACTGCCTTCTTACAAGGCCTGTCCATACAAACAACACATCGCGTCATATCTCAGGAGACACAGTGTCGGCGCCTGGCCTCCCCAGCTCACACACACACACACACACACACACACACACACACACACACACACACACACACACACACAGACGAAAAGCAATCCTCATATTGACACAGGGAGCCGTCCCCAGAGGGTATTAGACAGACCGCAGGGGGGTTACTTACAGTCAAGGCATAGTCCTCTTTCTTAATGTCTGACTTCTTCCATTTATTTCTGTCTGGGGTCTCTGTCACCACTTCTGAGTAAGACACCTCAAAGGAAAGCTCTTCACCCTCTGGTGGAATGTTCTTTTCTAGATAATCGTCATCTTAAAAAAAAATGCAAGAGACAAGAGACGATAAATGTTATACATCCTTGGGCCAGTCAAAGCCAGTTGCTGCGGAATAAACTACCAATATTTGCAAGGCAGGCTGGAGTGCTGAAATGAGGGGGTCAGGGCCTAACTCCCTGCATTCACTTAGGTAGTGACATGCTATCGTCCTGACCTTCCCTAGGACACATTTCTACAGTGTCTGAACCAACTGTCCAACCCAATTTTTTAATGTCTTAAACTTTCCTGCGTTAGGAGAGTTTTTAAGAATTAGAGGCAAAGCCCAGGAGGGTGCATTTCTCTGTGCTCTTCTGATGTTAGACCCAGGGCTACTTGTTGGAGGCCCAGAAACATTAAGAGGAAAAACAGCGGGAATCCTCCCAAAAATCCCTTCTACTTTCACAATCTCGAGCATCCGCCTGTTAAGATTATCCAATGTGGACTTCACCTCTGAGTATACAGGGGAATCAGTCTGGATTTCCGTAATCTGATATGGCTCTAACCTTTCCTGATGCACATTAAAAAGCACCTGACCTGCCGACTCTGACAGGAAAGTCCCACAGTGGCATTTTTCTCAAGTGAGGCTGAAAATGAAGGCAAATAAGTTTCTTGGCCCAAACCATTTGTCCAACATGAAACTCTTACTTCTGAGTAAGATTTTAGAAACACCTTGTTTCACTGCCTTGCAAAGTTTTTATGTGCAAAGTACAGAATTATTTGATTACAACCAGAACATTTTTTCTTCTTAGGACCCTGACTAAAGGTCAAGGGGATCAAAATGACAAAGGGCGAAATTAATCAGTAAGATCAATTGCTTTTACATTAAAGTTGGGTGGAAAATTCGTAAGTGAAGGCAGTACGATCTGCACATGAACCCTAGCTGGGACACAGTGAAGAGCAGCAGCAAGACTTAGAACATAGCAGAGCAAGGGCGGAGGCTTCACTTCTGCAGAGGTGGGCTTGCACTCGGCACAGAGGAAGGAGGGTGATGAAACAGCGCTAGGGCTTCTTGCAGATCTAGGATGGGGTCTCCTGAGAGCAGCAACAAGCAGGCAGATTCTCCAAGCCTTTGGGCCACTGCACTTGGGCACCTGTCCCTGAAGGCATGGTTATAGCTAGATCACAGGCAGCAAACAGACGACGGGAAAGCACTTCTGGCAAGTTTCTAATCTCAGTTATTTCACTTTTGGTATCAACATTATTGAAGAACAATTCTCATGTCAGGCAATTCATCATGTGATTTATGAAGTCAGCTGAGCAACTATCACCATGATCAACTCTAGAACACTTTCACCAGCTCCGCTTTGCATTTGGATGTGAATGATGAAAGTACAGCCTGTGATTCTCCAAGGAGAGAAGGAGCATTTCTCAAGAGAGAAATCCCAAAAGTATGGCCTCAGGACCCGGGCTCGGACCTGGAGGATTCCGTTCTGGTGTCTCAAGTGGAGGAAGCTTGCGTGAGAGCCAACCATACAAGCCTGCATGTCAGAAGCTGCTCAGGTTTAACACACCCATCCTCGGTAACTGGGAGCCTCCCTGGGACATCTGGATACATCGTGGTACTTACGTGGTGGCCTAAGTCAAAGCCACTGCCCGAGTAAAGGAAGATTTCCCTTCGCATGTAGCTGGATAACAAAATGGGCTGTTTGGAGGTGAGGGAGAGAGGGAGTGCTGAAAGCAACAGAATCACAACACACGTCTTGCTAGGAACAGGCGAAGATGGGGCGAAACGCAAGGACAAGCAGTGGGGCACAGTTAGATACGACTAAAAAGTTCCAAGGTACCATCGGCAAGCACGGAGACTGGAGAGAACTGTAATGTGCTACATGTTTAAAAGACCCGCAAGAAAGGAACTTAAAAGTTTTTATCACAAATGTAGATGATGGGATGTGTTAGGAGTTAGGTAAGTGCAGCCTAATGCATACGTTAGCCAACGTACGGACGCATCGAAACATCACCAATATTGTGTACCCAACACAACTATCCTACTGCTAAGTCCTACGTATACATTTATGGTGTTACCCAGTCAACGGTAAAAGTGGATGTATTAAAATAAAAGCTAAAAACAAAACCCACTGCTCACTGCCTGACGGAGCACCAGACCCAGGGGGAGGAGGAACAGCATAATCTCAGCGGGGGACATGTCACTCACCACTCATTGCACTGGGAACTGACTGCTCAGAGCCTGCAGATCCATTGGCGTGAATGGGAATATCTGGAATGGCCTCCAGTACTGCCTGCCGAGCAAGGAAAGAGGAACAAAGACATTCACCACCAACACAGTGACCTTCATCTCTTAGGTTTCTGCCTGTAAACCCAGCTTTTCGAAGCTGAGCCACCACTCCAGCCTGACCCTCGTCTCAATTGGATTTATGTTCTGCAATACATGAGTCTTTTTTCACATAGTTCTTGGTCTCACAAACGGTTTGCAATGATCACGGTTGTTTCCACAGTTAGTTTAGATGGATACGGCTTATCCAAGTCTCTCATGAGAACTAAGCAGGAGCCCTCACAACTAACCCTGCCTTCCCAGCTCATGTACTCTGCATGTTCTGCTAAGATGTACAAACCAGAATGCATGGTGGCTTATATTTGGCAATTACTATCTGCCAATTCTGGATACATTCTGTCCTGATTACAGTGATATTGCTAATGTTAACAGACAAATTCTCATTGTGAAATACAGACCGATAACAGCTAACAAAGAAGTTAACTCTCCTGCCAGGTGTTTTTAGTCCCAGTACTCAGGAGGCAAAGCAGCAGGTGAAGTTGCAGGCCAGTCCGGTCCACACAGCACGTTCTAGGCCAGCCTAGTCTACACAGAGGAGCCTATGTCAAGTGTTCCAGCCCAGCCTGGTTTACATAGTAAGATCCTGTCTCAAAACACACACACAAACAACAACAACAGAACTGCAAAATAAGAAGTTATCTTTTATAATACAGTTTCCATTCTTACTTTGGCTCCTTCCTCACAGAAACCCTGCCGCAGGACTGTACCCCACTTGCTCCATCAGAAGCCAAGTATCTCTCTTTATGCAATTCCACAAAGTGAGTTTCTACTCATGTCTAGAAGGGTGCTAGTAAAAAAAAAAAAATGACACAAATTCTACCAAAAAAATTTACATGCAAAAATATAAACTCTAATGTGGAGTTATTATCTGTGAACATGTATGACTTCAAGAAACTGCCATTCTATCAAGAAGCGTTTATATGCAATTCACACGTAAAGTCTGTCCTTTTCCCTGGCAGACCATGATACGGTGTCTCTTATTCTCATATTTATTCAGCAATCATGGAACACCTGCTTCCTGAAAGCTCCTCTATCATATGCTGCAGATTTTGCACAAGGGAATCTCAAAGTCTCAGCCTTGTGTTTTCTTTAGATTCCTGCTGGATTTCAGACGAGATGGTAAATCTCTCAGTTGTATACATCATGTGGAAATGGAGGGCCATCTTCTGAAATGCAGAATGCCTGTACACTGCAATTTCTAGATGAAAAGACAGAGACCTAGGGTCATGAAGTTCCTTGTCAGCGGTGTTCCTGGGGGCTCTAAAAACCCAACCCTACAGTGTGGAGGCCACCCACGGCTACAGTTTTCATATGACATAGCTTCCAAATGCCCACACGTGGGCCTTCCACTTCACACTATTGGCAGGTGGTAGACTCTTTAACGAGTGGAGAGGCTAAGGGGATATTTCAGGTCCCTGGAGATTTATACTTGAAGTACCTCACTGTGGAAGTGCTATGTGAACAGCTATTACACTGTTTTACTGAGAAAAGAATGACAAGAAAAAAAAATCTGTACATGTTCACGACAGACACAATTAAAATATCTTCCATCTGTAGTTGGTGATTCTGTGGTTGAAGAGATTCATTTCAATAAATACTGGATGTTCATTTGATGTAATTCAACCTACAGTCCACAATAAAGTAATTATGAGGCTTAGAAATCCAGAACAAATAGTCTGCTTAATTATGAAACATTAGAAGAAAAGTCCTAATGAGCTTTTCAAGAGGACGTCATAACCTTTTCTCTGAATTCATCCAGAAGCAATGATTTCTCAGAAGAAAAGGGGAGACTTGCAGGTGAACTTTGGCAAATTTCAAAGACAGACACGAAAATGTGGAATTTTACTTGTGATCATTTCAAATATACAAGACAATAAAATTTGGAAAAAGGGCATCCTATGGGTGAAGACCATTCTTTCAGAAGAGTCAACAGTAGGTGACTTTATCCCACTCCATAAAATAAATTCTTATGGACAAGTTATTGAGGTCTTCCCTAAAGTAAAACTTGGGGTCTTGAGGCACTATGAAATACTATGAGCACCCATGGCTTCTAGCTGCTGCAGATTAACCCCTGAGAAGTCAGAGACCTCAACACTCTTTTACCCAAGTGCCATAAGTACTCCCACCACATAAAGAGGCTCCAGCTGGTGTCCATGGTTACGTATAACCATGAGACTCAGAATGTGGTTACCTCACACTGAAAATTTGCCAGCACTTCCAGTACAGTAAGGGTTGAGTTGGCATTGTGGGGGTACCCCAGTAACTCCCATTTTATTTAAATCTAAATAAAGACCCTGTGATTAACGACCCAAAGTAAGAAAAGTTGGAGACTATGCCAGGGAGATTGTCTTAGACACAATATTGCTTTACTTATGTCACTATGACATCCATTTTATTTTCAGGAAGAAAAAAATGAAACTACTGTAACTCATCCTGCATAGCTTCATAATCACCATGTGAAATCAACTTCTTTCTCTCACATCATCATCTCCCACAACTTTTCAACCTTCTAAGCATCTTCATGTCGACAATATGTGGTCAGCTAGTTCTTTGAATCAGTGTCTGAGAACAATGATATGGAAAAGCTGGCAGCAAAGAAAGAACAAATGGAAAATGTATCACTCTGAGTGGACACAGAACTGTGGTCATGGAACTGCCATGAAAAATCAAACAAGATGAGGAAGGTCTGCCATTGTCTCCTTTGGCAAATGAGTTAGGTATCCAACCTACTTCACATTTGGCTAGGTGTACACTTCATTGTGGGCTAGTACAAGACACTGAGAGAAGGGGTATTGAAGGTTTGTCACAGACAAGTGATCACGTACTATTGGAAGGTCTCCTGTCAACTAGAAAGTTTGGGAGAGGCCCACTAGAGTTTTAAAGTGCACTTTGGACTCATGATGCACAGCTGTAGGAACGGTGGATTGTATAGACACAAAACTATTTTTTGGGAGGTTACTAGGCAGCTGCTTCAGGAATATAAAAGATGACAGTATGTGTCTGTACCAAAGGAGAAACTGTAACAAAGGACACAGGTACAAATAGCCCCAAACCATTCACAGGATAACACCTATGGGACCCAGAGATGGGTGTGAAGAGAGGAGAGGCAGGAGGAGTTGAGGCTGAAACTCAGGGATGGCTTATGGACCTGGGTACCACCAGCTGCAACAGGAAGTAGAGGATCTAATTAAGAGCCGAGAATGGGACTTTCAAGTCATAGGGGATTGGCACAATTGTGTAAGCTCTGTTGTAGGTAACCCCTTCTGTGGTCCCCATGGTTTCCAAATGAGGGGGCAGATTTCAGGTGATCTCTGACTTAGAAACGTTCTCACTGCATGCGTGTTTGACTTCAGTTTATATCATATGAGTTAACAACGATGTTTTTCCAAACAAGGAACAAATCCCAGGGGTAGGTCATACGTGGATGTCAGTTATCTTGTTCCTCAAAATAGGCAATGGCTAAGAACCTGCTGCCTTGAGGATGAACATTTATAGGTACCACATTTTCTGAAGGGCTAGCATCAGCCTTTCATCAACTTAGCATCAGAGAACCGAGACCCCATCAAACAGGGGGCTTCCACTGTCCCCTTTAAGAGACCCATTAACTTGCCTCTGCCAGAGTACCAGCTCAGAGATGCTTACTGCGAACATGCAGTACTGTAAGTGGAGGGGAAATGACAAGTGTTTTTGACAAAGAAAAGTATAACTGTCACTCAGGGTCAAGGGGGCGATTTCTGCAAAGAGAAAGCTTGAATGGCTGAGTCCTCAGAAGTTAGGCTGGAGATGAATTCAGGCAGCAAGGTCCAAAGCCAGGATCCTGCAGCCGAGGCTTTCTCACTTACCCAGGAAACAAAGGTTACTTCTAGGTTAATGTGGGGAAGTGAAGCCAACCCAGGGAGCCGCTGGAGACTACATATGAGAACTCCACGAGAAAGATGAAGGCTAGCAACTCCCTCCATACCTGATATTGCAATGAGCTCACTATGACCTCCAGATCCTGATTATGTTAATCAGCAGAGCTCCCTTCAAACGCAGATTATTTGCTATGGTTTCTGTGATCCTGGATGTTGAGGATCCAGGATCCTCTAGATCCTCTTGGAGGATCTTGGATGCCAGAGCCTCTTGGATGCTAGGTAAGTGTCCTACCTCTGAGCTATCCTTTAACCTACTTTTGAATATTTAATACCCATTATTTTTGTGTGCATGTCTGTTCGTGTGTGTGTGTGTATGTGTGTGTGTGTGTATGAGCATGAGGTCAGCCTTGCCTTGTTGACCCAAGGCTCACAAATTAGGCTAAACTGGCTGACCAGCGAGAACCAGCTATCTGCCTGTCTCTGACTGCCTGGTGCTGAGATAACAAGCTCCAGCGACCACATCTAGGATTTTACGTAAGCACGGGGTCCTAAACTTAAGTCCTCATGCTCATACAGCCAACACTTTCCGCACCTCCCCAGCTGCTTCCTTTTGAAATTTTTGGCAGTGGGTCTAAGTTTTTTGGGCTGGTCTTAGGTTTGCTAACCCCAGCCTCAGCCTCTCAAGTAGCTGAGAGTACAAGCCGGCCCCATCAGGCTTGGCGAAAGGCAGAGCTAGTCATTCCTTGGTCTGAAGTCCTCTTCCCAGTTGCTAGACAGCTGGTAGGTAGGCAGCTGTTTATTCTCAGCCCTAGTTCAAGTTTTCTTAGCCTGTCTTGAAGAAATTGTTCTTCTTACCTCCTGACACTGTTGTCCTAACATGCAATTGCTCTGACTTACCATGGAGCCACTCTGGAGGTCCACAAAACTACCTTCTTCATCCTGGGCACCGTTGGACAGCGTGGTACTGTTGAGAGGCTCATCACCTGCCTAAATGGAGACACAAAAGGACCGTTCTTATTCCAGAGTTTCTTTCCCATGTTTGTGCACTCCACTGACTCCAGAGAGACACATGACAGATGTGGAGACACGACTGTCTAGACACGGGCAGCTGCATAGGGCCGTTGGCGCCACACCACTGTGAGACCCTGAATGCCAGGGCCCTGTGGCAGATACTGACTTCTGCAACAGACACTGCTACTGCCCACCACACACTCTATTTGTCTTAATAAGATCTTGGTTCGTTATTAGAGAGCCAAGTATTAAATAAATTAAAAACAACACTTTCGTTTTCAGGAACAGGTGATGCTAAGAGGGATCACGTGGAAAATGTGAGCAATAAGGTATATGTGTGACCTTGCCCAGACTGTTTCTAAGGCAAACAGTAAGAGAAATATCTCCTCTCAAAGTAGCATAAGAGGGCTAGGGAGACAAATCATTGGTTAAGAGCACTGGCTACTTGTCCAGAGGACCTGGATTCAATTCCTAGAGCCCACATGGCAGTTCACAGATTCCTGTAACTCCAGTCCCAAGAGTTCTGAACTGCCAGAGCACCAGGCACACACACGGTACACAAACATACATTGCAGGCAAACACCCATACACATAAAATTAAAAAAAAAAATTAAGAAGCATACAGGAGAATGTCTAAGAAGAAACATGAGAAAAACAAGCTAATAATAAATGAACAAAGTAGGGGGCAGATGCAGGCAAATAATTAGGAATGGTTCGCAAACACGGATGCTAGGCAGACTCCTTAACTACGTAGTCCTTAAAATGATCCTAGGAAAATATAAAGCACATTATCTTAACAAAATAAGTTGATTGCCTTGGGGGTGAGTGGGCTGTAGCGTGAGAGAGAAGGAGCTTCAGGGTCTCAGGGAAGAACACGGAGAGGACAGTAGTGACCCAGCTTTACAGGAAGTGAGACATGAGAGGGCATCTTCCTCTCTCTGACGCTGCCCTCAGAGAGGGCTTGCTGGCTCCACCCACCCACTCTACACACCTTAAAGCTAAGGGCCCTGAACCCAGAAACAATCCTGCCTCCAGGGAAACTAAACCAACTTAACTACAGAGGCAACATACAATTCCTACATGAATCGATTGAAAAAAATCAATGAAGTCCAGCTCTGCAGAGGACCTCACAGAAGCAGCAAACTCTGAGATCTCCCTTTCAGGGGATGATGTATACGGTGGTTTCCCATATACATCTTTGCTGAGGCCTTTGGTTCACAGGGCCAAAGACAGCAGGCTGTGGAAGGTCTGGGAGGCAGGATGGAAGAGATTCTGGGACCACAGACTTGTTGTGGTCCAGAGTTGCTCCAATCACTGCAGTCTCAACCAGTGGGAGTGCTTCTACTCCCTTGCTAGAGGGAGCTTAGCCAGTGGTCTGTACTTCCCTGTTTGTTTTTTAATTAATTTATTTTTTATTAATTACAGTTTATTCACTTTGCATGGCAGCTGTAGCCCCCTCCCCTCCTCCCCTCCCAATCCCACCTCTTCTCCTCTCATGACCCGCCCCCAGTCCACTGATAGGGGAGGTCCTCCTCCCCTTCCATCCCACCCTAGCCTATCAGGTCTCGTCAGGAGTGGCTGCATTGCCTTCCTCTGTGGCCTGGTAAGGCTGTTCTCCCCTCAGGGGGAGGTGATCAAAGAGCCAGCCACTGAGTTCATGTCAGAGACAGTCTCTGTGTGTGTTCGAGGGCACCCACTTGGACACTGAGCTGCCATGGGCTACATCTGACAGGGGTTCTAGGTTATCTCCATGCATGGTCCTTGGTTGGAGTATCAATCTCAGAAAAGACCTCTGGGCCCAGAATTTTGGTTCTGTTGCTCTCCTTATGAAGCTCCTGTTCCTTCCAGGTCTTTCTATCCTCCCCTTCTTTCATAAGATTCCCTGCACTCTGCCCAAAGTTTGGCTATGAGTCTCAGTATCTGCTTTGATACCCTGCAGGGTAAAGACTTTCAGAGGCCCTCTGTGGTAGGCTCCTGTCCTGTTCCTTGTTTTCATTTTCTTTTGATGTCTATCCTGTTTGCTTTTCTGAATGAGGATTGATCATCTTACCCAGGGTCCTCCTTCTTGCTTAGCTTCTTTAGGTGTACAGATTTTAGTATAATTATCCTATATTATATATCTAATATCCACTTATAAGTAAGTATATACCATGTGTGTCTTTCTGCTTCTGGGATACCTCACTCAGGATGATCTTTTATAGTTCCCACCATTTGCCTGAAAATTTCATGATTTCCTTGTTTTAAATTGCTGAGTAGTATTCCATTGTGTAAATGTACCTCGATTTCTGTATCCATTCCTCAGCTGAAGGACATCTGGGTTGTTTCCAGATTCTGGCTATTACAAATAATGCTGCTACGAACATGGCTGAGCAAATGTCCTTGTTGTATACTTGAGCATCTTTTGGATATATGCCTAAGAGTGGTATAGCTGGATCTTGAGGAAGCACTATTCCTAATTGTCTGAGAAAGCTCCAGATTGATTTCCAAAGTAGTTATACAAGTTTACATTCCCATCAGCAATGAAGGAGGGTTCCCCTTTCTCCACATCCTCTCCAGCATTCCCTGTCTGCGTCATTGAGCATGCCACTTCCCTAAAGTTTGTATGTTCCCCACACAATATTTACCTTTGGAAAGTTTGGGGAAATCACTAAATATTTATATCTTAGTGGACACTAAAGATACTGAAAAAACACTTGCATAGTAGTGATTTTTTTCTCTCATGTGAACTCACCCACATACACCAAGAGCTAGCAGACAGAATCCTCCACACAAGATACACAAAATACACACATTCACACACACACACACACACACACACACACACACACACACACACACACAAAACCAAAAACCAAAAACTACCCTGGTTGTTATTTCTAGCTGTGGTGTTTCTGAAGATAGACCTTCACTCTTTTGGATATACTTATGAAATTATTCCCTGCTGAGAGCAGTGGTTGGTATTTGGCAACAATCTGAATTTGTGCCTCTTTACTCAAGAGAAATGTGAATGCACATCCTTTTGCTACATGAATGTTCACGGCAGCATTGCTCATAACAAGCCAAGCTGGATGTACTACAAACCTCCATCATCAGGTAAACAGACATGGTAACAGAAGGCATTGTTATAAAATGGAATGTTATCTGCTGGGAGAGCCCATGTAACAATTGGTGAATCTTAAAATTATAATTGTGAGGGGTATAAAGGGGTACAAAAACACTCTGGTACATAGAATTCTACTTAAATGGAGACGAAAATGAGCAAAAATGTGTCAGTAATCACAGCGTGCCTCTGCAGGGAAGAAGGAACATCCACTGACAAGGACTGGGGAGACATCATTGCGGTGGCGGCCATCTTCTATGCTCACACTGACTGTAGTTTTCTGACACGCACATTTGTTAAAACCAGTTGAGTGACACACCTAACATGGATTGTGTGATTTGTAAATTGTGCCTCAGTTTTGGGGTGGTATAAAAATAACTTAACTCGTATTTTCAAAGTTTTAAGTAGCTATTCTGGCTCAGAACACATTGCTGTAACAATGGGTGCATAAATTTAAAGAGTCTTTTTTTTTTTTAAATAATATGTTTTCTGAAATCTACACAAAGAGTTGGAAACTTAAATAATTACACAATTACAACCAAAAATTTTTACTAAGCAAAATGTTGAAAAGGTATAGAATATAGGGCAACGAGACTAATGTGGGGTAAAATTTAGCAAACAGTAAAATAAAATATGATTCAAGCAAAGCAACAACCATATAATTTGTGTTCTAGGGAGATGAACCACAGGAACTGAGGAGAAAAGCTAATTCAAAAAACACTGGAAGAAAATCTCCAGAAACTAAAGAGAAAATGGCCTCTAGATGGCAGAGTCTCACTGAAGGCCGATCAAAATTAATGAAATAAAATCAAGGTCTTTGTCAAAGTTCAGAATGCAAAATAAACTAAAAGCTCTTAAAACTCAACAAATGAAAAAAATTAAATAAGAAACCCAGATAGCTTATTTTTAAAGGAATGGGGTCTAAAGGAAAATACATCTGTGTATCCAGTAAGAGTGTCACAGTCTGTGGAGAAGAAGAGACATTCTCCTGGGCAGGTTTTCCAGGAAAGCCAAGGATTTAGGTTTACACAGTCAGGTGGCCTGGGCTCATGGGAATGTCAGTTCAGTTTCCTCATCACACAACGGAGACGAGGACTTAGCCAACGAGCCGGTCCCCATGCTAACGTCACCGCTGTGCTGTTTGCAGCTGGTGGTGCTTTCATCATCAGTCTCTTAATCCGTGATGAAAACAAACTCCTACTTGTTTAAATCACGGTTCCTTAGATTCGCTTTCATGGGAAACACACAGATGCAAACGATGACTCTCAGCAGATGGCACGATTGTATTTTACAGTGAGTTATGAAACAATGGCAAGCGGCGGATTTGATTTTTCACTTAAGACACGGGACAGTAAACTAGACTGACTGCTTTGCCTCTTGAATAAACAAACATCTCTAATAAATATTTCATCTATGTTGACTGAGCATAAAAAATGTCTTCTTTTATTTCTATGAGAAATGATTTGTAGACTGAGATTCTGGTGATAGCAATTAGGCTGTAAATCCTTTGTAACTACCCAAACTTAGTGCCTTCTGTGAGTCAAAATGAACCATGTACATATATGAACAGCCATTCACGCACTGTAAACAATGTACTGCAAAGTAAGGGTCTAGGTTTACTAATGAAACTGTAAGAACTTGCTTTTAAGCAGTTAATTAAGATATAACTGATCTATAATGAACTGCACAATTAAACTCAATGCATATGTGTATACAGCAGATAATTTGATGACATTAATCTGATAAATTTTGATTAAAATTTACATCCCCTAGAATTAGCCATTACTACAGTCAAGATGATGAATGCCAACAGCATCCCCAAATCTGCTCCTGCTCTCTGGGGGCTCTATCCTTCCTACGTTCCTTCCTTTATCCTAGTTCCCTAGGAAGTCAACGGCCCCTCCATCACTCTGGGTTAGCTCATATTTCTTGCATTTTTGCATTAATTGAATGTTTTTGTCTGGCTTCTTCCATGTGATATTAGTTTGAGATGCATTCACGCTGTGAATGTGCATCACGTAGCAACAGTTACGGGCAAAGCCCCAGGAAACCTCAAATGGAGCCATCGTTCTCGGCTTTACGGTGATGGAGCCTTTGTCATTGCCCTAGTCTCACCTGACTCTTCTCTTTTGGGTCTGAGTGGAGAGCAGGAGTGACTACAGAAGGTGGGGAGTAGGCAACGGAGAGGGGAAGACGGAAAGGAAAAGGAAATCCAATCCTTGAATTACTGAGTTACGCGTTGGCTTTTACAGGGCATCAGTTGTATATTTGCCTACTAACCTAGGGCTGATTCGCTGCTGAATATGTTTCTCGGAAACTGATGAAAAGTCGTCAGGTATGTGAATGGATGTGGCTGTCCAAGCACCTCAACCACACTGCACTCTTTTAAAGTTTTGATTGACTGTCTTAGAGAAATGGCGTCATCCTCTTCCCCATGTCTCCTTCCACAACTTACCAGGGGCCTGCTTGTTTTGGTAACTCCTGGCAGCTCTTTTTTTTCTTCCTTGGTACCATCCAACTGAGGAGCACGGTCACAGGAATCACCAGGCTAAGGAAAAGAAATAAAAGTCGTTGTTCTCCAGCTCATCACTGCAAATGTGGCCATGTATTTCATCATGCATTACACCAGAGCTCACATACATGTATATGTGTGATTTATATAATTGCACACAGACACACAGAGTTCATGGCTGCCCGTGTTGATACAGAACTTATCAATTCACCCACAATCATACCACATACCTGCCTACAGTAGAACTGGTCTCGAAGCCAGGTACCGCTAGCTGCCTGCCTACATCCTCTTTTCTTCTCTGAGTGTATGAGGATCATGATTTTGCTCCATGATGCTGCATGCCCACTTAAAGACTCAGTGTTGTCCTGCGATGGTTACATCCAGCAGGAAGAAAATAAAATTGTATTTGGAGGAGTGTTTAGGAAGCTTAATAGTTCTTCCTACAATCGATGGAAAGAGGTGCTTAGTTCTACTCTGGGAACAGGAACGTGTTTCCGGGGATGTCACGGATCCTATGAATACTATGCAATCACCTCAATGCTGAGGAGGGCAGAACGGAAAGATGAAAGTTAGAAGATTCATGCTTGGCCACCGTATCAGCCTTGGCCTTTCAACCTTGAGCCTCTAATACAAAAAGTAAACTTTTACCCTGTAAGGATGCAGTTGACGGATCTAAACATACTGCTTTGAAACTGGACTTACAGAAAATATGTGATATTTGTCTTTCTGAATATGGCCTATTTCATATAACACTATAATCTTCATTTTCCCATCTGTTTCCTATTAAAGACACAATTTTATGCTTTTACGGCTGAATATAAAACCTCAATGCATATATAAATAAATAATAAATGACTAAAACTGGACTTATGCCTGCACCCCACAATGTTCATGTCAAGAGGAGGGGAGCCTTTATTTTCAATCAATCAAGAAATTGGTTTTAGACCAAGAACTTCATAAACTCATAGTACCAAACGAAATCCCTCATTCCCACCCACTGCACACTGGAAAGTCTCCAGTTTTCATGATGTATGAAGTGTATTGGGAGCCAAAGGTTCAGTTTGCAATGGACACTCCACAGAGCTTAAACATAAGCTCTCACACTTCGCAGCGTTTCCCATAAAGGCATCATCCCATCAACACCATAAAATAGGAATACTATATTCAATCTGAATCAACTCACTGAAGAATTTTTCAAAAACTGTTCTGTCAGATCTTAGGATCTGCCATTTTCATAGGCCTCCCCCCCCCACCAAATGTATATAGTAGGTTAATAAGAAAAGCACATTATTAAACAAAAATGCCACTCAAAGGGCAGCACCACTTGTTAATAGAAGATAGTTTTGTAAGTACAGTTCCAACTGGGTCACATTGCAGAGACAGGAGGATCACAAGTTCAAGGCCATCCATAGTGACAAAGTGAGCTTCAAGGTACTCTGGGCTTTGGGATACCTTGTCTCTAAAACAAAATAACAGATCCCAAATGGCAGTGGATTAAATACGATGGTCCATTTGCATTCAGGATGGATGGAAAACTAGTTGGTATCATTACAGGCATCTTGAGCCCAAGAATAACGTGACACAACACAGCTTTTGAGCAAAAGAGAAACCCTTAAAAACCAGACAAGTAAACAAGCTCAGAGTGTAGAGAGGGCAACAGAGTGATTCACAGGGAAATGGACAGCAGGAGTGTTTCCTCAGCGGAAAGGCCACGCAGACCTGTTTGTATGCGTCCTCTGAGAGGCCTCAAGTGCAGTGTGCTACCTTCTTCGGGTGGGTCTCTGGGCTTGGTGTAGCTGTCCTGGCTAAAGACCAAAGCAGACACTACCACAGTGTCACCCTGGAATTCTATGGAAGATGTGAATGGGAGAATGAAAGCAAAATACTAGCTCTATGTGTGACAGAAAGAAACTAAGTTTTCTCCTCCCTTTCAGCACAATTGTCCCACGGTGAGCTAACGTACACAAACAGGAGCGCCTCCCACCACATATGTACACGCTCACGTGTGCCCCCCATGCAACATTTGTATTTAGAAAACAACAGAAATTCTATAGGTCCCATCACTATTGGGTGATCTGTACAAGGCAACAAAGATTTGCCTGAAGAAGTGGACCGTGTGGAAATGAATGTGTGGATTAAACTATTAGATTATTTATTCCTTCCTTTGAGTCTTTTTTTTTTTTTTAAAGTAAATAAGCATTCTTTTTCAAGTTCGAATGACTGGCCTAGGAAAAATTACTTCTTCAAACCTCCTGGCACTCCTTACCAATGGACCTTTTTTTTTTTTTTTTTCTGACATTTCTGCGTCCATACTTGCATCTCAAACTCTTTATAAAAATGAACATATATATATATATATAAAACAAAAACCATTTGGATACTGAGAAAAAAACAAAGCATATCTAAATACAGAACTGACTCTCAGCTCAAACTGTGAGTAGCGTCTATATGTTCGCATAGGCCGGGGGAGACAGCAACGCCTATGGCTACACAGATGCTCTTTATGAAGCTTAGCCTTTTGCCCTCAATATCTCATAAATATCGAGATCAGATTAATTCGAGGGATGAAAGTGTGCATTTCTCTTTGTAGAAGATACTGCCAACTATATTCCAATCCCCAGTCTGCTGTCTCCGTGAACAGTATCTTAATCCCCGGCCCGGAAGGACAGGGTCATTGATACCATTCCAGAACTGCCAGGAACACAGACACGGCGCCTGCAGTGGCCCATCTAACTTGTCAGCACACTGATGAGGGCTGTGTATGGATGGCAGCATAGGAACGCAAAAGCAAGCCTCCAGCTCCATTTTAGAGAGAAAGGCTCCTCTTAGCTCACCATTTCCTGTGCTGTTACATAGAGCCAAGTGTGCACATAAATTATATGTAATACGGTACATAAAAGCATACTGCATGGCTATATATGTGCGGTCAATTATCCATATGGCATGCCTTTAGCTAAATACTTATCAATTACAAAGTTGGGGATAAATTAGATAAAGAGTTTTCCCACTGAAACGTGTCATGAAAACAGCATTTATTCATGTTTTCCACACCATGGAGAGCTGCCTTTGGTTACAGAAATGGTGCTAAGCACCCTGAGATTGGCTTAGCAGCTTTGACTTAGAAAACCATGGCTATACTAACACCAGAGCCACACGCTCTGTTCTCTTACCACAGGACATCACTGGAAAACTAATTTACTGGCTCTCCAGTGAAATCATAAAATGTATTTGGGCCCATAAAAATAGCTATTCCTCAGCCTGCCTGACCATGTTTTCTGTTTCCTGCAAGATTATATATTTCTTTGAAAACAAGGAGAAAAAAATAAAACCACATTAAGTTTTGGAGGAACTAGTGAATCTGTGGAAGAAAATTAGATCAAGAAAACAAAATGCACACACATTCCGTCTCCCTCCCCTACCAATCAAACCAAGTGTCAGAAGGCACAACATCGCCCTCAACATTTCATTGACAGAAAAGAAGTTCCTGGAAGATTAAAAAGGAAAAGCAGTTTAATAAGACAGGAGAATCCTCAGCCTGGAAAAGGGCACAAAAGAAAACTGAGGAGTTCAATGCTTGGTCCCCAGACCACGAAAACGGTTCAGTAAGGTAGGAACATCTCAGCCTGGAAAGACATATAAGGAATAAGAAAGCAGGAGTTAAATGCTTAGCTTCCAATGCTCCACATTCAGACAGAGATTAAAAAAAAAAAAAAAGAAGGCTCAGAACACACCCAATTCACAAAAGTGATGAAAACCTGAGAATCAGTTCTCTTGGTAAAGGGGCCAGGCAAAACGTTTCCTTGCTTGAACTTTGAACTTGGAACAGCAGCAAATGCCTGGTACCATGGTGACCTTCACTGGCAGTGATGAGGAAGTAATGCTCATAGCCCTCAGGACAGCTGCGTTATATCCCAGCCCAGGATTTTTGGAAGATAAGAACACAAGTATGAAAGGAGAAGTTTGCTTTGCCTGTACAGGAAATAGAGTTCTCGGGGAATCTGGTCACTTAGGCACCAATGCCACGTGTCTTAAAGCAAAACGTGACAGCTGACACACCTGCCCAGCAGCAGGCCACAAACCTTTCCATAGCAGAGTTTCTGTGAGGAGGCAGGTCTATACAATTGCATACGAAACACACAGTCCCGAACTGTACTAATCCAGGCAATTTAGTCTTCCGTGGAGAAATACTCATCTGCAGCCAGGGCTGAAAATCAATTTAACAATAACAATGGGAAGAAGAAAACAACAGCTCTAAAAATAAGCACAGCAGCAGCGGCAGGAAACAGCTCACAGAAAGGAGCAGTTGTTTGGAGTTTGAGCTTGAGCCACTGTCTTCAGAGTGTAGGCAAGAAACAGGAATGGGTGCGACAGAGCACGGGGTGGAGTGCTTCCCCAGCATGTGTGAGATCTGAATGTAATCCCTATACACAAAACCAACAGATCACTCCAGTGAAAGAGAAATCAAGGGAAAGGACTGTCATCATAAACTATTAAGTAGTAAATTCTGAAAACTACAAATTCCCAACTACAAATCCAACCATTGCCAAATAACCGATGTTCACAAATGATGGTCAAAGAATTTTCAAGAATGCAAAACAAATACCTGCCCCAAACCCTGAATATAAGAGAAGAACCGAGAGACACGAGACCTATCTAATCTCGATGAACACCGAACAGGCACTCAAAATGCTTTTATTTCTATTTAATCAAGGAGTGGGACTGACATAGGCATGACACCTACCCAGTGATGCTCTACGATAGATGACCAAAGGTATCTTTGCAATCTTGAGGGAAGGTGAATTTAAAGCTTGGAATTCGATGTGTAAACATTTTAAGAAAACAAATATAATTTGAGCATCTGTTTTAAAAACTATTGAATAAACATCCTCTCTGGTAAGCACAACTGGCAAAAAAAAAAAAATCAAACATTTAAGAGCAGTGCAGACTCTTATGAAACTGAGAGGTTTGGGGACAGAGAGATAGATGGTTTAGCAAGTAAAGTTGTCTACTGCCAAGCCTGAAGAAACTTACTGAGGAAGTAAAATTGAAAAGTTTAGGCAACACGGTGGAGATGAGGGAGGGAGGGAGGGACTGGCTGGGATACAGAGTTAATAAAATGTAACTGATAAGAAAAAAATAAAATTAAAAAAAAAGAAAAGAAAAGTTTAGGCAAGTATTCAATCAATGTTGATAAATGATGCCAAAGAAAGATAATGATGAGAAAGAAAAGCGGGAGAAAGGGTCAAAGTTAGAAATAGAGAAGAGAAAGGAGAGTATGAGGAAGAGGAGAAGCAGCAGAGGAAGAAAGGAAGGCAGGGACAGAGGGGAAAACAAGCCAGGACAGATATGGAGGAAGAGGGAGGGGAATTGGTGTTTATGTCCTTTAATTAAAACAGGAAGCTGAAAAGTTCTAATGCACTCCTTGCAAGGTTCCAAGTTTCTTTACTCACAAAAGATGCTAAAATCTTTTAGGGAAAACATCAGCCTATATATAACAGAAAGACAAGGTGTGTTTCCAAAAGTCAAGTCTATGTGGTTTTTAGGTATCTGACAAAGCCTTGAATTTTTAAGTAGCATATACAATACTAGGCTCCTTGGCTTTCTTTGCCTGCAGGTGCTCACCCCTTACTTTTGCTTCATTCCTGTTTCTCTCTGAAACTGGGCTGCAACTGAAGACGTAAGGCAGAGAGGAGGAGGGTTCTGAAGTCATCCTCTCTTATACCTTGTGCTGAACTGGTTCCACTGCCCTGCCTGGAAACAGCAGTTAATAAATGGTAGAACCTGAGAAACACCACGAACACCCAACAGCTGTTCACGTTATCAGCCCCTTCAGAGAGGGTCAGAGTCAAGGAAGGAATTGGACACAAAGGACTCTAGATCTATTTTGCCTTGTTGTTAGAAGCTCAAAGTCTTAAGATATTAGTTACTTCCATGTCTGTGAACACAGACTAACAAACAATTTAAAGAAGAAACACTGATTTAGCCTCATGGCTTCAATCCATCATGGAAAGAAAGGCATTGTGGAACAGCTCAGCTGTGGTGGCAGGAACATATACAGAGCTTATTTGCCTCTTTGGCAAACCAGGAAGGGGTGTGTACAATGGTCAAAGGCCTGGTCCTAGTGACCTGCTTCCACAGCCAGGCCCCACCTCTGAAGATCTCACAATCTCCCAACAGAGTGCTACCAGCTAGAGAACAGGCAGCCAAACAGAAGCCTATGGGCAGCATTTTAGATACAGGATTCAGGATTAGCCTATATACAGGATTCGGGATGACTCTTTAGACCCTTTCTATTTCACAGTTTGCTGGAGTACAGCAACTAGCTGGAAATAGATTTGGGAAAGAAAGCAGGTAGGTAAATTTTCTTAAAGACTGTTATAATACGATCCCAGAAGCAACAGAAAAGCAACTCACGGGAATTAAATCTACCAGGGCAAATTTTTCATTAGCAGACATCTTTGCCGGGACACATGCAGCCAAAGTCCCAGCTTCAAGGTACAGAAGCCATCTTTACTTAGTGACTGCTGAAGAAAAAAACAAAACAATCCTTCCATCCAGAACGACACAGATTTCAACTAAGCTGGAAGTTCCAATGCCACAGAACTCACAGAGCACGGCAAGGTATGTCATAATAGACAGCAGGAGATTCTGGAACTGGGCTGTTCAGCACACAAGCTTCAAGTCACAGGTGACTGTTCAGATTCAGACCAACTAAGATTAAAGATCTCAAACCCAGTGAAACCGCTTGCTGCAATGTGTGACAGAGGGTATTACATTAGACAGAATAGAAAATAGGTCATCGCTATCATTCTAGAAAGTTCTGAGAGACAGTATTATTCTAGGACAGATTATCACAGGTGTGTATATTAGTGAGGCATACGCAAGCTCCCTGGCAACTATCCTTGATGATGAATATCTCTTTAAAAAAAAATGACTTAAAAAACATAGAAAGACTCAAATTGGAGACTTCATCCATGGAGATTGCTGCCTGTGGTGGTTTGACTAAGAATGGCCCCTACAGGCTCATGTATTTGAATTCTTCATCACCAGGTAGTGGAGCTATTTGTGAAAGACTAAGGAGGCATGACCATGTTGGAATAGGCTGTGACTTTGTTGGAGGAAGTGTGTAGCTGAGGGTGGTCTTTGAGATTTCAAATCCCATGCCAAGCCTGGCATCTCTCTCCCTCCAAATCCCCTCAGCCTGCAGATCAGGATGGAGCCCTCAGCTACCGCTCCAGGGCCATGAACACCAAAAGGCTCCTTGCCGTGATAATAACGGACTAAGCCTCAGAAACTGTAAGCAAGCCTCAATTAAATGCTTTCCTTTATAAGAAGTTGCCCTGGTCATGGGGTGTCTTCACAGCAACAGTAACCTTAACTAAGACATTACCTAACATCCTTGATGTCTTAAATTATGTCATGTCTGATATTGCAAGGGAATGGATGAGAGACCTAAGTCACACTCATTAACCGATTTGCCGTCAGGCAGAGTATCAAACTTGCTTGCTGTGTAGCACAGCACAAGATTGCCTTTATTCTGAGTACACCCCAAACCAAAGTCCCATGAATTCTCTCTGCATAGCATCTGCTGGCACTGCGCATACAGAAAGCACCCAATGAACACCTGCTGGGATCATGCACACAGAAAGCATCCGATAAATACATAAATAAATAAATATCTGCGCTGCAGAGACCCAGTGAAGGAAGGAAGACGTACACTGAAAGAACTGTCAATCAAGGTAGAAATGGGCGAGTGAGGCAACCACTGGCACCAGGAGTGAAACTGGAACCAGAGAACTGCTACGGTCAAGGTGGAACTTCAGTCATCTCTCACGAGGAAATGGCTCATGATCTTCCTGCCTCTACCTACAATAATACTTCCCTCTATTTTTTTTTTAATGATCCATTTAATTGGCTCCCATGTCTTCCAGTTTTTATCATATTTAAGAGTTCTAAACCGAAAGGTACTCTATTCATTTCCCTGCCACCATTTAAAACAACCTACTTGGCCTTGCTTACAAAATTTTGGGTATTTCCCTGGGGCCTCTGTGCCTTGCATGGAATTCCCACTCAAGGCTGAGCTTCAGGGAAAGTCCTGAGGCTCCCAACCCTACAGGTTCACGCCAATATCAAAGAAGTTACTCTCCAACTTCAACGTCTTAGGGAACAAGCTAGTCTGCAGGGAAATGCAGCTGTGGAGGTGAAGACTGATTACTCAAGCTCCGGTCGGTCCGCAAGGCTGCTGCAGAGCTGTTGGCTCTAGCTTCCTCTGAGAGTTAAAATAGACCAGCCTTTCCAACTCTGCTCCACCCTCCTGCCCCTGAGATCAAAGCAAAACGCCTTCCGAGCCTCCCTGTTACATACAGGAGATGCGCTGACTCCGAAGACGTCTCTGACATCCCTGATGGGTTGCTTATTCTTCTTCCTCAATGTCTGGGTATATGTGTTGTATCTCTTCTTCACTGCGGCTGCTTGCGTCCGAGTCAGTGTAGACAGGAGTGCTTTGCCGTCTTCCTCTTCATTACCGGAGATCAGAGTCGACAATCCCACATCTTGTAACCACTCTGCTTCAAGTTCTCCTTCTGGGAAACAGCATGAGCAAGGGAGGTTAGGGCCTTTCCTAGAGCGCTGATGATACACACAGCTACATCTTTATATATCAGGCAGTCAGAAACTATATAAAAAATATATATATATATATAGTTTATATATATATATATATATACATATATATATATATATATATATAGACTTCAACAAACTATATAAAGTTATCGCTCTGCTGTTGCTTTGAGACAAGGCCTTGAATTCATGATCTTCCTGCCTCTACCTACAAAATGGCGGGATTGCAGCCCAGGCCACCATGCTCGGATTGTAGCCTGTGCCACCACAGCCAGCTAAGACTGTCTCTTCTTCTGCAGTGATTGTTAAATAATGAATGAAAAGCTCTCACTCTGCTTTCTTAAATAAGTAAAATCATAAAATGCTGTCTAGTAGAACAAGGTTATACGGCAACTACGAAAGGCAGTTTTCCTTGTTAGAGGGTTAATGATAAGCCATGTCGGGACTTTGACAGAGCCCCAGCTTTCCGTGTCCTCCCACCGCCTCCGTGTGGTTCTCACGTCATTGTCTCCTGTCATTCAGGATGGCTAGAAGCAACCAAGTGGGCTGTTCTCACGGACCATGCCGAGCTCCGTGCCCCTTCTCTCATACACTCACTCCAAACCCACTCACTTGAGTTCCGGACCCCAGTTAAGGCACCATAAGCCCTCTCTCTGGATTCCTGTCTCTTGATTGTGTATAGGGTCCTGGATGGCCTCCCCTCTTCCCTTTGGTCCCGGAAAATATGTGACCTTTTCTCTCTGGGATCTATAGGTAATCAGCATGTCTGTGGTGTTGCTGCCCCCTTGGGTCCCCAGGACATCGGTCAGGCCAGATCACAAGTATCCTCCCGATGTAGGGTGGACACTCAGTAATCACGCCACCCACCAAGATGAAGAAGCTCCCTGTGAAAGGCACACCCAAACCAGCCACACCCACCGCCCCATGAGCTCCATCAGGGCAGGGCCACAGTGTGTAGCCACCCTCCTGAGAGAGAACACAACACCCTATTAGAAGAATGTACCACAGCAGGGATGGCAGCGCAAGCTGCATGCAGCCACGATGATACCTTTTTGAGGAACTATTTATGAGTCTGGCAGAGAACCTAGGACAAAATGGTGAATGCTTAACGTCCATTCTTCCTGATACTCTGAATGTGCGACAATCTATTTTTTCAGCAAGCAGTGTAAAACCCAAGGTGCATCTGGATGAAAGTTAAAGGGGTTCAGGGCAACCCTCTGGTGTGGACAACCCACCATACACGCCACGTCTGGGAACTACGCTAAGCAGGCCTAGCACGAGTGAGGGCTGTTTGATGAAAGATTAGACTGCTGTGTGGACACGTCTCAAAGCCACACCCTCTAGCTCACACGCTGCATCATCCACACGTAAACAGACACGGGGAATGCGCCTTCCGAGTCCCCTTTCCTAGCTTGGCAAATGTTTTATTTACTACTGTGCTTTTGATTTGTTTGCTGTGTAAACTGCCCCTTTAATAGAAACGAAAGGTGAGTTGACAATATTAGCTTCCGGTGTGAAGTGATAATACTTGGACCACAGTGAGCTCAAACCTGGGTAACTTGGAAAGGGCTCTTTACTTAAGACTTGGGCAAGGCTATCATATCTCAAGATGAAGTTAGAAATATAAATGAACATTAACGTTTTAAAAATTGGATAGTATTTCTCTCCACTTGTGTAAGGACTGATGAAAGACTAGAACTAGGGGGCCACAGAGTTAACACAAATCAGGAGTACTGATGGTCTAAAACCTCAGACCCCTCCCTAAGTAAAACAATGTTTCCCTAGGGGAAAAATATCCATGGCAGACACTAATCTGATTCCTGTTTGCTGAATTATGAGAAATTCACTCTCACACTCTATCTTCCAGCTGTTACCAGTACATCTTCAACTCAGAACACTCCACCGATTTTAGCTCCACATAGCCAACGGCCTACTCAGCGTCAACTTGACTCTACCAGTCATGTTATATTAACATGCTTAAGCCGGAGTTCACATCTTCATCCCCTAACCTGGTTCACTCTTCCCCATTTCGATATGCAAAGCCCACCACTGGCTAATGAGGCAAAGGAGTGGCCCATGAAATATTAACCCCAGCACACTGTCAAGACTCTGAAATTGTTTCCTTATTACATCTCACCCCCCCCCCAACCTGCTTTCTTCCTTTTGCTCTGTATAGCTTTGCTGATGAAGGGTCAAACTATGTATCCAGGTTAGCCTTGAACTAGCCATGCTCCTGCCTCAGCCTTCTGAGTACTGTATTACAGGGAATGCACTACCAATGTCCCAGCTTCCTGAGCCTCCTTCTATCTATTCTACCATGGCCTTTGTCTAAGCCACCATCATCTCTCACTTAGGCTTCCACAACAGACTCCCAACAGCTCTCCCAGCCCCGTCCAAACCATTTTCTACAGTGACATTAAATTAATCTTTGTAAATGTAAATAAAAACGTCTTTCCTCCCTGGTTGCAGTGTGTTCTGTAAGATGTATTTATATACATCTCCCTACCTGTTCCACAGCAACACCAGGCTCCTGAGGGGTCCTCGGAAGCTCTGTGTTGCATTTGGACAAGCCAGTCTCCTTTGGCTCTGTCATTACTGGCCATCTTTCAGACCTCAGCTTCTCTTTCAACGAAGTCTTTCTCCTGAACCCAAAAGACAAGATCATGTTCTAACGCTAACAACCTCAAATCTGCTATTTCTTTGTCCTTTGAGTAATTTCCCCTCAAGTAGGTCTTGTTCTCATTTCATGAAGCACCTCTTCTTTTGCTGGATCAAGTCTATGGAAAGAGGAAAGCTTCCGGTTTTACTTGCAGCTCTAACACCTTGTGAAGTGCCTAGCTGAGGGAAGGCATACATTTGTTGAATTAATTAGTTGATTAAGCTTCAAATGAAAAATATAATTGTGAGTGCTATTCTAGCAAGTTATAAAATTAATAAATATGCAGCACTAACTTTTAGAAACAAGCATACCTAACCGGAGCAGCATTTCACACTGGAAGTCTGATTTCCCAGTAAGTGTGTTAGAGACAAATATTAAAAAGACAACCAAAGTTTCAATGGGAGTTGCTATAACTTTTACCAAAACAGCATTATGTTGTAATCTCTAAGTTTAAAAAAAAAAAAAAAGAAAGAAAAAATAATTACATATGGACGGCAGAAAAGAACCACAGATGGGCAGGAACTGGAGGGGCATAAAGCCCAAAATTTCTGTTTAGACAATATATTAGCATTTTGAATTTATTAGACAATATATTAAGTTTGAATTTACCCTGCTTTTCAGCTAAGGTCATTTTTCAAGCCCTGACATATAAGGTGGCCGCACACATACTAGGAAATGAATTTAACAGGCTAAGGAGATAAGAGGTCAGGATTAAAAACAACAACTACATGTCTACATATGTGAAGTAAAACGATGAGAGAGGCCCAATTAAAGAACCTCATTAAGAATAAGAATAGGGGCTGGAGAGGTGGCTCACTGGCTGTTCTTCCATTGGTCTGGAGTTCAATTCCCAGTAACCACATGGTGGCTCACAACCAACTATAATGACGATGTACATGCAGACAGAACACTGTATGCATAATAAATAAATAAATAAATGTGTGTTGTTTTTTTTTTTAAAGAATAAGAATAGGAGCTGGAGAGATGCTGACTCGGTGGCTAAGAGCACTTGCTGCTCTCCCGGAGGACGTGGCTCAGGTTGCCAGGACCTACACGGTAGTTCACAACCTCCTGTTACGGCAGTTCCAGAGGGTTCCACGACCACATTTGGCCTCAGCAGCCACCAGCCACACATGCAGTTCACAAACATACGTGGGGGTAAGCACTTACGTAAAATAAAAAGGAAAAAAAATCTTTTTTTAAAAAAAAGAATATGAACAGTTAAGCTTTTGCAATGCATATTTCATACAGACATACCTGGAATGCATAAAACATTTACACGAGGCAGCAGTAAAAGGATGATGTTTTTAAATATTCAAAAGATTTCACAAAGTGCACGAAAGGACAGTAAAAAACAGTAAATACACTCGGTGTCATTAGCCATCAGTGCCAAACAGTTAGCACTATCATAAGACACTCCCACACATCTAGAATCACTCCTGTTAAGAAAACTGATCAAATCAAATTTTGCAAAGATGTGGAGAAAGGAACCCTCTCTTAACCAGCAGAGAAGGGTGCAAAAATGGCACAGCTGCTTTGGAAAAATCTGGTAGTTTCTTAGAGTTAAACACATCTTACAAAAATGCATGTATTCAAGGCAAATAAAAATGTTATGTCCACAAATGACATCTACAAGATTTCTAAGATCACCCATTTTTTAAAGACCTATGTATTTATTATTTATACAGCATTCTGCCTGCATGTGTGCCTGCACACCAGAAGAGGGCACCAGATCTTACTACAGATGGTTGTGAGCCACCCATGTGGTTGCTGGGGATTGAGCTCAGGACCTTTGGAAGAACAGCCAGTGCTCTTAACCTCTGAGCCATCTCTCCAGCCATTTATAAGTGCTAAAATGGTAAATAAAATCCACGAAGCCATGAGCACATCAGGAATAATGATGTAATCATTCAGTGAGCAACTATTGTGAGGAGCTGAACATTCTCCAACATCAGCTGAAACCTTAACCCCTAGCACCATGAGGGCAGCCTTATTGGGAAGTGGCCTCTTCAGCTAAATTATGGGCTGAATGTACTCATTAAAACATGGATAGCATAAAGATGCTCCATTTCAATTTACTTGTAATACTTCAATAAAGATAAAAACTAAGAATGAAAGGAAGGGCAGCTTCTAAAGCACACCCGTATAAAAACTGAGCGGCAGGCTGCCGTGCAGCTCAGCGGCAGCGCACTAGACAGCACGTGCAAATCCCTGGACTCCATTCCAAGCAAGGCAAAGCGAAAAACCCAAAACAAACCTCTAGCCAAACCAAACTACAGTAAGGCCATGAGGGAAGAGAGCAAGCCCTTTCTTCATTACAGCTGGCACCTCTGAAAACACCTGGAGCAGGCCCGAGGCCGAGAATAACAGGGTATGCTGCCTACAAGCAAGGGCATCAATGACTGCCAGAGTCAACACAGCCCAGGAAATCAGCATCAACAGGAGTCTCCTGACAGCTTCAGAGAGCAAGGCCCTGCTGGCTTCCAAAACTGTGAAGCACATACTTACGGTGTTAAAAGGAACCCCATTTCATGGAACTTTGCTAACGCATCCCTAAAAACAAATGCCAACAAAAAGCAATGAACTTCTGATATACTAGCTGAATCTCATAAATAGGGAGCCAAGTGACATGAACCCTATGGCACAGAAATATGGAAACTATGGCCGCCTTTGGCCCTAGACAGTATCATTGGGAGATGTGTGACAGACAAGGATGAAATAGGAAATCTAGTTGAATGAAATTCTCCCTCTCACTCCCTCTCCTCCCCCTCCCCCCGAGACAAGTCTTACTATGCAACCCAGGATGGCCTCAAACTAGGGATCCTTCTGCCTCAGCCTCCTAAGTGCTAGGATTTTAGACATGCACCACTACACCTGGTGAAATGACACCGTGATCCACGTGGGCTCCGAGAAGTGCATGGCTTTGCCTATGTCAGAGCCCAGTGAACTGCTCTTAAGATCCTCACAAGTACGTTCAAAGTGACACCTGCATATACACAGTAACTATACTCAGGAAGTCTGCACTTTGTAGCAGTTTAGTCTAGCAGAAAGTATTTTCCATGTCCCCTGGGCTTTAATAAAAGAGTAAATGTATGGCGGGCGTGAACTGGGTTTCTCATTATGTAAGGGAGTACTTATAAGGAGAGAATGCAGAAAAAAAAAAAAAAACAACAACAACAAACTACAGTAAGACCCTAGGGGAAGAGGACAAGCCCTTTCTTCTTCACAGCTGGCACCTCTGAAAAGACCTGGAGCAGGCTGAGAATAACAGGGTATGTTTTTGGAGGTTGCTAGCTGTTGCTAGCAGGGAAGGCAGGGATATGGGGCAAGAGGCATTCTCCTTCAAGCATCTTGTCTGGGAAACAAAACAAAACGGGAGGACCGACGGGAGGAGTAACAGGATTGAGCACCCACTTCCCTGTGGGAAGACCACGTCCTGGAATGGATGCTCATGAACTGAGTGAAGGCTTGCTTATGTGGTATGGGATTCTAATTGAATACAGAGAAACTTTGGTCATGTCTTGGTGTTGAAAAAGACTAAGACAGGAGAATGGCGGAAGAGAAGGCTTCTGTCTCAAGGTTAACTGCTGATTAATGGAGATATTCCTGGTCCTCTTAAGCATCCACGAGGTGAGGGGAGCCAAGCAGAGCTCGGCTGTGCTTTAAGTCCAAGACCCTGATCTCCGAGAGCTAGGAACCGTTTATTCATTTTTCTTTGTTTGATTTTGGTTTTGTGTCCACCTAAAAGCCCTCAATGTTTGACATGTTTATTTTGTGAAATACCAGGCATTCTAATATATTAATACCAACCAATGTTTCAAAGTAATTTTCCCTCTAAAATCCTTAAGGCAAATCTCTTTCCTTCCCTCTTCCTCCCCACTGTCTTTCTCTCTCTCCCCTAAATGTCAAGTACACAGATGAAATGTCAAGCACATCAGCGTGTCCAGTCCGTTTGATGAAAAAGAACCCAACCCACAGGAACACTACCCTCATGCAGGGATGCTTACTAATGGACCCTTGCCTGGATGTCTCTGAGGCCTGCCCTCCCTCAGCTCTGGAAGCAGATACCCCCACCTCTACTGATCACAGGACTGGCAGGCTGACATGCCCCACCCCCACTGGGATGAGGGAAACCCACAGGACAGGTCCAAGCCCTTACCATCCACAGGTTTGACCTCGGCGGTGGGCGGCTGCTCCTCCTGAGTCCCCACGCTGCTCTCTTTGATACTCTCGATTTCTCGCCAGAACTCTTCCACGGATGTGCTGCTGTCTACGGAGGCCTGAGAGTTGGATCGACTGAAGGCAGGGGGATGCAGGGATTCGTTGGAGAGCATCCTGTTAATTCTGCGGCAGCGAGGGATGGATTTTCTGAGGAAAAAGCAACATCTGAATGAAACTGGGTGCCTATGTAAAGTCACACACAAACAAAACAAAACATAAACAACTGGACTCTCTGCCAAAAGTCAGTAGTTCCGTAGTACCAATAATGCCGTAGGGAAGAACTTGCTGGGATGAGCACCATTCAATGGAGACCCCCATACTTGAAAGTGGGTCTGTATGGTGATATGATCGTTAACACCACTTTCAAATTAAATTCTAAAAAGTAATTTTCACACTTAAAGTGGAAGGTCACATCTGTCAGAAATGTGTACACCTAAAGCTTGTTTCAGTAAAGGGCCTCAGATAATGTCAGAGAGAGGTAAAAAGCTGCTCACACCCATTAGGAGACTTATTACGGACAAAACACGATGTAAGAACGTGCTGGTGAGGCTTGGAGAGACTGGAACCTATGTGTACAGATGGGGAAACGTCAGGTGGTTCAGGCTCTCTGGGAAACAGTCCTGCAGTCACTCAAAAATGGGTTTTAAGAGATATATTACCATAGAACCCAGCAATTCCACTTCTAGCAATATCCCAAAATAACTGGAAACTGGCACTCAGGTATCTGTTTACTCCTGCTCACAGCGCATGGTCATCGGTGGGCAAATGGATGTAGTGTGCTGATACAGCACTACGCAGAGGCTGTGGCTCAGTGGTAGAGCATTTCTCTAGAATGTGTGAGGCTACGGGTTCAATGCCCAGAAGTGGGGAGTATAATAGAAACGGCATTTTAACACATGCTTTAACATGGATAAAACTTCAAGGTAATGTGTTGAGTTCTTTAATAATGGTAATGAGCCAGTTCTTTTCCCAAGGAGGGGAAAAAAGGCTAATGTGTGATTCCATGTATGTCAGTACCGAGCACAGTCATATTCACAGAGTGGTTGCTGGGAGAGGGGGATGGGCAGTTAAGAGTTTAATGAGACTGAGTGCCAGTTCTGAAATGTGCAAAGGGATCCACGATGGTGGCGGCTGCCTGTTGAAACTGTATTTAACGACACTGGACTACGCTTACAAATGCTTAAGGTGGTAATTGTTATGGCCATATCTCATCTTTTAAACTTAAAAAAAAATACATTTATAATTATTTCATAGAATTAGCTGGGGAGGTAATGAGGTAGCAGGCAAAAATAATGTGTAACAGTAAATGGGGAGCCCTTGGTAGGATGCGGAAGTGGAAAAGGAGCCAGAGCACAAAGGCCTTTGGCAAACATGAGGAGAAGCAGCCCCTCATCAAGGGTGGGTCCAGTGAATGGGCAGGCTCCTCCCACTAAAAGCGGGTCCAATGCCTGAGCGGGGCGGGGTGCCTCCTCCCTTGGTCACTCACTGTAACGTAAGTGACCCTCACTCCCTCCAGTGTAAGAGAGCAGCAGCTGAGGTCAAGCACTGAATAGCTTCATGGGATTGGCCTCACGTGTAAAATCAAAACAGTGGAAAGCTTGCTTTAAAAGGCGACATAGTACGGAATGCCAAAATACTGTCACCTAAGAGATTCTGGTGCATTACACAAAATAAAAGTTGACTTTTATGATTTGTAACTGACAAATAATTACATTTCCTCAGAGCAGATTGTTTATCTGAAACGCCTTCATCCCCAACCATGAAGTTCTTTCTTTTTTCAATAAAAGCCTGTGTGCTTATTTGCTATAGTTTGGATCGTAAATCACCCCAAAGGCCTGTGTGTTATTGGTCTGTGCCTCAGTTAGGTGCTAAAGAGAAGTCCTGGTACCTAGGTCTCATCGGAGTTGTCACTGGGAGCAAACTCTTAAAGGGGGAGATGGTCAACCTGTCTCCTTCTCGCTGTTCGCTTCCTGGCCATCACGTGTGAACAGGCCACACACTCACACACAGATACCGCAGCCACATACAACACGTGCACACACATGCACACTCACAATACCCACACCGCAGTGGAAAGGGTTAACCGGAGGAAAGGCCCAGCAGTGTCCAAGTCTAGGTATTAGGGTTCCCAGGACAGCAACGTTTGATAGCAGGGGACTGTCATCTGACAAAGCCGTGGCCTGGAACATCAGTAAAGCTCACTGATGCCTACGCATGCGACCACCCCCAGAGAAGCAGGGACACGGATCTAGCGGGACCGAAAGCCTCCATCCCTTCTTTTTTTCCTAGACCTCAGTCATCTTTGAAGGAAGACGACTTTCTGCATCTGTGTCACTGAGCCTCTTCTGGGGTCCAACCACAAGCAGTTTAGTTCTGACATTAACTGGCAGCAGAAAATTTACTTTTTAAAACTCAAGGCGTTTTAGGAAAAAAAAAATGAAATATTCAACTCTAAAAATGTGTTGTGCAATAAAAAGGAATCTTGGGCAGCCTTCCTTGTTTGATAATTCGGTGATAAATTATTCCGTGAATTCCTTACACTTGGCGGGGGCAGAGCCACTCCTGCGGCTGTGTGATCAACATGCTGGCAGGAAAGTCAGGCTCCCATGAAGGACTTGAGACTCACATGCGAGTAACTCGCTACCAGGGAGGTAGAGCTCCCCACCCCCAATGAGGCTTTAATGTTTGCATTTTCCTTTTATAACAAGGTTAATTCTCAATGCCACTAACACATTCACAAAGTATTCGTAAATCAACACTCATCTCTTGTAACACTGAAACCGTTGCCGTCACTCACAGCCCACTGTCTTCCAAGTATCACAATCAGAGAAATGCACAAGGCTAACGAGAAATTTGCATGCTTATGGATTCTGCAGTCTAGCTTCATTAAAAATTAATATGCAGGCATAGGAGGATGGCCTAACAGAAGATCACAGCACAGCATGCATGGGGCCCTGGCTTTAAGACTTGCACCACACCCTGTGATAGTTACATAAAGCAAAATGGCACTCTTTCCCCACCCCAGTTCTATCAACATCACTGGATATAACAATTCTTTACATTTTTAAGCATTACTTATGTCTGTGGCTATTTTGGACTACATGCATGGTATCTGCAGAATTCAGAAGAGGTAAGAGGATCCCTAAGAACAAGAGGTACAGATAGCGGTGAACCACCATTGGGGTGTTGGGGCTTGAACCGGGGTCATCTGCAAGAGCAGCGAGGGCTCTTAACCACTGAGTCATCTCTTCAGCTGTACATAACAGCTTTTGTTTTCCTCATTCAAAAAATACGCCATAAACATTTTTTCTTTTTTTGCATGCCATGCTATGGCAATGGATATAGGCATAGAAAAATTCATGTTGGAATCTAAGCAAATGTGCAAATGTCCGCAAGAACTGAAGAGAATGGAAACCACATACTTGGGAAACAAGAAAACCACAAGGGAAGGTAAACTTAGGGCTAAAAAAACATCAGCTTACTTATAGTACAGTTCCCCACCCATGAAAAAGACACATTAATGGAATGTCAAGGAGACACTAAAGGAACTCTGCTAGCGGCAGGGACAACAGGTGTATGACCCTGGCCTTGAACAGCTGACAAAGATAGCTATCCAAAGAATCCGTTAGCAGGTAGTGAGCGGCTATTATTTTTGGCCAGGAAGTCTGACAGCACTTTTGGGACAAACGGCCTTGGAAGAGCTTTTGTGGGAAGGGCTTCAAGTAGTTCATCTTCATCCTGGGTGGGAACAGATCCCAACCTCCCCCTCCTGACACACTGCATAGTGCTGGTTCCCAGGCACATCCGGCAGTTGGATGAGCCACGGCCTACAGCTTCACAGCTTGAAAAGGAGACACGGAGATGCCAGGAAAATCTTACCCAAAAACCAGAGTGTAATTGTGTCACACAGCAACTTTAGCTAGGAGAACACTACTAGGCTTGAAGTAGGTCTTCAAGGTACGTGAATAGCTATATATTCAAAACGAAATCAAAACGGGGACAGTTTCATTTCTCCACCCTTTCACTGTCTTCTTCACATCTGTACTGTCTGCTGACAGTCACTACAGCTGTATAACTTTTTCCTAGCCATACATAAGTAGAGTGTCTCCCTCCCCAAGATGACACTGCCTCAGAGTCCCGCTCTCCCTCCAACCTTGACATTGTTATATGCTGCCTCTTTACATTTCCATCTCCTAATCAGTATTACTGTTGCTTCAAAGCAGGCAGTGTTTTCCTTCAACGTGGCCTTTTTACTCACCCTTTCTTGTCATCCTTTCTCGTGCTGACATGCAGGTCAGCTTGGAGCAAGTCATCTATGCTTTCCATCTGATTCCTTAGCATCCTTGACTGCAGACGTGCTCTCAGCAAATTAACTCAGTCTTCTTTCCTGCGTGTCTTCATTTCCAGTTTTTGATCTATGATTATCACTGTGTGCATGTATACGGATCATGTGCGTGGTTGTGCATGCCACAGCATGCATGTTGAGGTCAGAGGACAATTTCCTGGAGTTGATTTTTCTCGTTCCCCCCTCTATCTTGGCTCTGGGCATTGAACTCAGGTCATGAGGCTTATGTTATAGCTTTTACCCATTGATCCATCTTGTTTTAATCTTTGACGATCATTTTACTCAGTAGAGAATGCTGATGGTATCTTGTTGGTTGTGTTGCTTAAAACCTTCTAAGGGAATTATTTCCTTGTCTGTGGACTTTATTGGCTTTGGTGAGAATCCAACAATAATGCTACTGCTATACAAATACATTGTACAAACTGTGTTCTCCTGGCTGTCCTGGCTGTCCTCTGAGTGCATGTATGTATAAGTATATCCTCACACACGTGTGTATGCTGGCATGTAGAGGATGGAGAGGGACAAGTGTCTCCCTCTACTACTCTATACCATTTATTTATTTGTTTGTTTGTTTATTTTTCATTCATTTAATTAGTGTGTGTTGGTGCAGGCATGCACATAGCACAGCATACAGATGGGGTTCACGGAATGACCCCAGGTGCTGGGAATGTGCCTTATACCTCATCTGAAGCAGGGTCCCTCCTTTCTTTTTGGCTGCTGCACAGGCCAGGCTCCCCAGCTTCTGAGATCCTGAGAATTCTCCTGTCTGTGGCTCCCATCTCATTGCAGATACACCAGGTTT